TCACATCCACTTAATAGGCGTAACTTAACTTAACTTAACTTAAGAAACCTACGTCTGTTAAGTTGTCTGTTTACATTATCTTAATACACGCAAAGAACGTAATATACAAGCACGTGCAATGTAGACATCGATGTAGACTGGGTTGCCTATCTATCTATAAAAGTGAAACAACGAGATAGCGCTATATCGTTTTACTGGTCATGTGATTGGCTCTATCTATAAAAGTGAAACAACAAGATAGCGCTATATCGTTTTACTGGGCATGTGATTGGCTCACGTAAGAAACGTATTGAGCCGGACCCAACTTTTGGATACGTTAAGTTACGTGTGATAAGTTTTCTACGAATGTAAACAGCTGCATTGGTTTCAATGTATTTCAACTTACGTCTCTCTCGTACGTTAAGTTAAGTTACGCGTATTAAGTGGATGTGAATGAGCTTTTATTTATTCGTCTTATGTCGCCTTCAAAATAGTCCCCATTGGATATTATGAACATGTGCCAGCTCTTCTTCCAATACTCGAAACATTTCTAAAACTCGATCTTTGAGATAGCCTTTAGTTCTTTCAGCGATGCCTTTTTAATATCCTCTATGCTTGCAAAACGACGGCCCTTTAAGGTTCTCTTTATTTTTGGGAATAGGAAAAAGTCAGACAGAGGCATGTCTGGAACATCATCAGCGACTTCTCTGATGGTTTATAACTATTTCTTCCACTTTTTCCATGTTTTTATCGGTTGTTATTGTGCTTGTGCGTTCGGGGCGTTCATCATCTTCAACGTCTTCACGGCCATCTTGGCCATAGGCCTTTGTTAACATTTCACAAAATTTATTTCATTTTTTAAGCAAAATTGGATACAAATTCTTTGATCCATTTCTTTTAAGGAACCAAAAATCGCCGAGCTCATAAAACACGTCTAACCTTAGCGGCTGTCACAGACAAAGTAAACAATGAAAACAGCCAAAGTTTTTATCATACTTCGGGGGCATGTATACCAAAATAATAAAGAAAATTTTATGACAACCGGACCCTCCGAAGCCGCGAAATTTAACAATTCCCTTTATTTTCTGAACACACCTCGTACACGTCGATACATTTTGAAGAACACGATTATAAGAAGAATTTTTAATTTTTTTTATCAACGAGCTTTGACTTTATGGCGTTTTAGTCACAGGCTGAAGTTAGAAACAGTGGCTTTTAAGCTTTTTAGTCACGGGCTGAAGTAAGCTTTATTATAAATTTGGAAAAAGTGAGGTTAAATTCGGGTGACAGTAGACAGATTTCAAATTTTTAACAAATAAAATTGACTTTAAATTCTGTTTCGTGCTCGTCGTATGGATAAAGTAGGTATAGTACCTATGCAACTCGTTTATAAACTCTAGACACTCGTTTTTCTTAAACACTCGCTCGCAAGCTTCGCTTGTGCTTAATTAAACTCGTCACTAAAATGGCGTTTATAAAACTTGATACACAATATACTATTATCTACTACTCTTCTTAAAATCGTGTACTTTAAAATGTATCGAAGTTTAAATGCCCTCTGTACACACATGTGTAGAATTTATTGTCTGTAGATCTCATTAACGACAGTTTAATTTAAATAAATTAATATTAAAGTGGTTGTTTTTGTTTTAAGAAACATTTATTTAAAAGAGGATCTTTTATAACTTTGTATTTTTTAGAAAGTGCTTTAGCCTTGTCTTAATTGCGTGTATTTTTCTATAAGCTTTACATCAGCTATAATTTTTGCACTATGATAAATTCCTTCGTAATTGTACAATTATAAACATTATCATGTCCTGAACAAATTAGTGATAAATTATTGATTTTAATAGGGTACAGTATGGTAGTAATATCATGATTTTTATAATATAAGGGTTCGCCTGATTTAAATCATTTGATTTAAATCACGATTTAAATTAAGTGATTTTTTTTAATTTTAATTAGTTTTAAAATAATAAAGGAATATACCTACAAAAAAATATATGGCAGTTGCGGACGGTGGTTTATTTGTTTATAAAGTAGTGCCCTCGGTAGTGCCAATATAATAATATTTTCGGATTCAGGGGACAATTTACAAAATAATTGGCTATTAAATGTTGGGGAAACCATGGTACCCATGGTTAACCAAAAGTGAAAAAGCAGCCACAAATAACTGTAGTTTTTTAAATTAAACTCCCTTTTTAGTTTTTTAACGTCTTTTAGTTTTTTAACGTTTTTTAATTAAAAAAAAAAAAAAATCATATATATAGGTATATCTATCTTTTAATCCTTTAATGCCATATAACAATTATTGTAATATCGAATATCTTGAAAACGGTTTATTTTATCGAAGTTTGAGAGGTATACCCATAGCCACCCTAAACCCAGGGCTAAATGGGCTATAGGGCGCAACCTTTTGAGGGGGGCAATTTTTATTGATCCATGTTATATTTTTTTATTATTACATAAGTACCTACCATTTTTATTGAAAATCTTTTCAAGAAAAAAATAAAAGAATAACCCGTTCTAAATGAGACAGAAAATATTATACAAAATTAAAAAAAGATAGAATAGTATATTCTACAGGAATACAGCATATTCCGCTAGAGTGAAGAGTTTGTCACACGAGCCGAAGGCGAGTTTGACGGTTTCACGAGAGCGAAATATGCAATTCCAAACGTGTTTTAGACTATACTTTTTCTACGTTTCCAAAAATACCATAGAAAAGTAATTTGATTGGAAGAAAGTGAGGTTGGATCGGTCTAAAATTTGTTGTATATTAAAAACAGAGATGTCGCCACGAGTGTTTATTCTGTCATAGGATGATAGAATATTTAATTCTGTAACACTTTACGGAATATATGTCATGCCATAGATAAAAGTGATAATACACAGTAAAAAGAAATACAAATACCAACGTAATATTCTGTAAAATATTTACCTTTTACAGAATATATTCGGTAAAATCACTCAATAACCGTAATAGATTATGCGTTTGCACAGTAAGAAAAAATTACAGAATATTACGTTGGCCACAGAATATATATATAGAATATTTCATTCTGTAACACTTTACGGAATATATGTTATGCCATAGATAAAAGTGATAATACACAGTAAAAAGAAATACAAATACCAACGTAATATTCTGTAAAATATTTACCTTTTACAGAATATATTCGGTAAAATCAATCAATAACCGTAATAATTGATGCGTTTATTTGAAACACCATATTTTTTATGTAAATATTACATATTTTTATCCGTAATTTTACCAAATATATTTGAAACACCATATATTTTATGTAAATATATTACATATTTTTATCCGTAATTTTACCATCATTTCTTACTGTGTAGAACGGTAAAATTCCGCAATAGGAGTAGAAAAAATATTATATGCATGCATCAATAAAATACGTTCGGTTTTGTTTCTGTTAGCGCCAGTTTTCTATTATAATATGATAATTATAATTATCCTATTATAATAGAAAACTGGCGCTGATAATTATCAGCGTCAGTAAAACACATTTCTACCAATATCACTGTTGCAAAAGCACAATATTTGTATCCAATTTCAATATATGTTTATTCGTTGGGACAAAGAAAATTCAATGATTTGATTATTTTATCTTCGATTTTATCCATAGAAAGTGACTTATTTAAAAACATAAATACCTACGTGTGATATTATTAATCAGTTTGCCAAAGAAAATGCTAGGAAAATAAATAAATAAGTTGCTTTTGTTTTTTGTTTACTATAAATTTTGTTTTTGCTCATATAGTTTTTTAATTTTGTATGATTTTTTTTTGTTTAGTTACTTTTATTTTTTGTTTACTATAAAGTTTATTTTGTGTGTAATGATAATAAATTAACTTTTTCTAGTTCTGACACTTTTGTATAACTTGTATAACCCTTCTCACTCCTCTTATGAAGAAGGGCGCATTATTTTTAGTAGCCCACAGGCGCTGAATAGCCCTGGGTATACCTTTTTAATAGTAGCCGAATTGAGTAATCGAAAGAAAGATTGCATCAAATGTTATAAAAACCTAACCTCAAAGTTTGTATAGGACAATAAGCTTAGAGCACTTCAAACAATTGTAATTATGTGTAAATATGTGTATTGGTAGTAAGTGGATGTTCTTAAAATATCACCTTTCCAAGTCTACCATAATAGTCGAGGGGTAAACCACTTAAAAATCTTAGAGACCAACGTTCAATGTTAGTGGACGTTGTGTTGAGATTTTTTTCCTTATCAGTCGTTATCAATAAGGAAAACTTGCTTAATCGGTGCTTAATGGGTGCTTAATCAGTGCTTAGCGACGCGTTGTACATGACTACACTTGTTATTGTTATCCTTAGCAGTTAATTCGTAAGCGTTTTTTAACTTAAAAAATCAGTGGTTTACCCCTCGATAAAAGTCTTATTATTATTAATAGAAGTTATATTAAAAAAACTGATATGATAAGTAACACTTTATCACCATCTTGGAAACATAAGTGATTAGGAAAAATATTTATTTAGGTTTTCGTCTTATTTTGACTTGCTTAATTGTTTGCTAAATTTATGCCACTAAGTTTAGGGACACCTTGTATAAAGAAGGTTGCTTAATTGTATACTCGATTGTATATGAAATGCAATTTTTCCGCCTCTAAAAAAAATTTCAAAGAATAGAGCTGAAAATTTATGGACATTATTTTTTCATTTTAGAGAATCATTCTAGAAGGTAGCACCCCAAAAAATATTATTTTTTTGCTTTACAGTTATGGGCCAGTATCTCCGTAGGGGGGGCCGTAGGAAAAAAATTTATATAAACTTGTCATATTATTTTTATGTGTTATATCTAAATCCGGGATATTGCCCACATATTCTGGGACACCCTGTATATAAGTAAATATAAAAAGATAATATAAAATTAAATATATATTTAAATAAAACTAAATAATTCTTTGGCAACCCCGTTTTTTTATATTAAATCGGTTTTTATCTTAAATTATACTAATAATGTGTATTATTGCAGGTTTGGTTAAACGTACTTACCGCTCGAATAAGACTGATAGGCCAGCTGAAAAGAAACCTTACAAAAAGTCATTTGAAGGGCCACGGCAAAGGCCAAGCGATGGTAAGACGAACCTGTCATATTCAGTTTTATTTTTAACGAAATTATTTTTTCAGCTGATACAATACAAAGAATGTTGGCAAACCTGCCGGCTAAAAGGTCGACTAGAAAAATCATGTCCCTGCAGGATGGTAGCCGACAGAGAAAGAACAGGGACAACAAAGCAACAGCAACGCAAAATAAAGTTAAATGCGGCAAAGTGATCTATAAGAACTGTAAAGGTGCCGAAACGAAAAACCTGTCTAGTCCGAAAACAATTAAGAATGTAAAGCGTAATTTTAATACCGTTTTATCTAGCCGTTTATTAGATTCCAATAGTACGTTAAGGACGAAGCGAATACTAAAAAATTTAGTTAATAAACGTGTTACAAGACAAACAAAAGAGAAAGTCGATGAAGAAGTTGTCGAGGAAGAAGACCAAAAACCACTGGAAAACGAAGAGGAAGATGAACAAATGTCACCGAAAAGAAAGAAAAGCAACAAAAATAAAGAAAACCAAGAAGAGAATAATGAAACTTTGGAACCAATCAAGCGGGTTTCGCCAAGAAAAGAAAAATCTGTATCTCCTCAACAACCTAAAAAGAAAATGACGGTAAAGAAGATTTTAACAGGGAAAATTAATATTAAAAGCTTTTTCCCTGTTAAGAAAAAGAAAAAGGTTAATAATACCGATAGTAACAATGCAGAAACCACTGAAATTACTACAAGAAATAAAAGAAGGTCTAGAGAACCCAAAGAAGAAACAGAAATAGTCACACCATCTGAAGAAGCACCTAAAACAGACAATACGAAGCAAGGCAAAAAAGGAATAGTTAATTCTTTGGTACGAACTTTAAGTATGAAGAAGAAAAAGAAGGCAGCAATCATTAAAGAAAATGTTGAGACTGCAAGTACAACTCCTCAAGAAAATCCAGAAGAAACTACAAAAAAGACTGAAACAAATAAGGACTTCTCACAGAAAAAGCGAAAGTTGACTAGAAGCTTCCGTAAAGTTATAAAAAGGGTAAAGAAGCAAAAAACTGAGATTCCCCAAGAAACCGTTATTCAGAATGAAAAAGGGTCAGAACACCAACAACTGATTGCAAATCAATCGGTTGCTTTTTTAGAGAAGCCTTTCTCGACGGGGAATACTATGGAAAAAATAGTAGCGCCGTCCATCTTAGAAAAAACCGAAAATATAGTTGACAACTCCACGTCTGTCCCTACTGCTATTAGTTGTTTAGAAAACATATTAGTCCCCGAAACAATGTTTAATTTAGAGACAAGCAACGAGAAGAGTCTTCAAGCTAAAGGAGAATTAAATTTCGATTCTAAAGAAATTCATATTTTTACCACCGATATAATCCAAGATAAACAAACCGTTGTTACGGACGATGTTCAATCAAAAACAGTGCCGACTATAACTGTGACCGAAGTCCCAGAAAAATCAGTGATCAATGATCTCGAAGATAAAACTGGGCCAATTACTATAGAAACTTCAAGCAAATGCTCCAATTCTCCCTTATCTTCACCCTTAAGTTCGTTGGTGTCCCCTTCGAGCACATCTATGATATCCCCTTCAATGTCCAAGAAAGTGCGGAAACCAGCTCGCGGTTTAAACGATTGCATAGCAATGCTTACAAACAAACTTCACCAGAAAACGGACGTCAAGACAAAATCCGAGGAAAATTTGCCATCGGCTGCGACAAAGACTGAAAATGAAAAATTGAAAATAGCCGAAAAACCAATAGTGCCAAAATTATTCGACAAACCAGCAGTACAAAAACCCGAATGTATCCTAAAAATACCAACGTTTAAATCTGCCATCGCAGAACCAGCTATTGAACAAGCTTTAGACTTGACGAAAAAATCAAGTGAAAGCCTGGATCTCTCCAAAAAATCAACGGAATGTCTTAGCCCGAACAAAAATAGATCTTCTGAGAATATAACCAAACCTAGTGAGAATCTTATGCAACCAATTCATTTTGAACCGCTAATGACGCGACCTGCGTTCTCCATTCCCAATTTACTCGGTTTACATCCCGCATTTTTGTTTCCCCACGACCCAATTCAAGTACAAAGGTTTGCATCTTTGTCCAATTTGGATCGCATCATAGAAAGCGTTGTGGAAAATAAAGCACCCATACGGGTTTCTTCAAGCATTGATAATATAATACAACAAGTTGTCGATAATTCGTACAGTATTAATAAATCGACACGAAATGTATCACCAAGTAAAGAAGATAAGTTCCAGAAGAACTCGGTGGATAATGTTATTGATTTCGTGATAAAAACCTATGCACATACAGAAGATGCAGAGCCAAACACTGTCGAAGTTAAGCTAAAGGATGGAAGAAAGATAGGTTCTCTTAGAGAACAACCAATCAAAAATAACCAAGAGGAAGAAGTTGCAACCCCAGCTGATGAAGATTTTAATACAGCTTTTGTCGAAGAAAAAGAAGTTGAACAACCTGTAATCATTGAACCTGAAAAAAGAAAAATCGGACAACCAAGAAAAAGAGGCGGTAAAAAAATAAAATCTAAATCTCAAGCACCCAAAGAATCCAAACCTGAACAACCCTTTTTAGAAACAAATGTGGATGAACTGTTGAACACCAAAGAAGTCGCATCGAAAACAGAAGTTTCAAGTTCTTCAACAATCGTTAAAAGTGCAGTGATTGAATCTTCCGAAGAAAAGGATATAAACGAATTAGTAAACGAAGATGAACCCCACTTGCTTGAGAGCAAACTTGTACCAAAATTCATTCCTCAACCAAGACCAAGTGATTCTGAAGATGATGATGTTCCGTTGGCTGTATTGGCTAAACCGGACCTTAAACAAATAAGTAAAGATAAAATTAAAGAACCAGAAGCACCCAAAGATAATATAACAGAAACACCATTAACTGAAAAGACTGTGGATGTAGTAAATATTTTAGTTAAGAAAACTATTAATAGAAGGGGGCGAAAACCTAAATCTAAGCCGGTTCTAGTGCAAGAAAAACCAGATGATATAGTTATGAATTCAGAAAAAGAAACAATTGTTTTTCCCGAGCTTTTTCCCATTGTTTTTACTCCTCCCCAAGACATAAATAAATCTGAGGCTAATAAAACGCAAAGTTTGTTGGTAGAAGTAGAAGATAGCAGTTTGGAAGAAAATACTAAAACACCAGAAAAATCTGATGATCAGCAAAATGATAACGCTATAGAAATTATTACTGATCAATTAAAAGAAATTAATGAAGATACCGACATTAATAAAGCAGAAGAAATTAATAAAGATATCGATATTAATACCAGTACTAAAATTATTAAAGATACTGATAACGCTTTAGAAATTAATGAAGATTCCAAAACTAATACCTATACTGAAACTAAAATCGCCATTGACACTGCAGAAATTACTGTTAAAGAGATTAAAATTAAAGAAGCACCTAAGAAGAAAGGAAGACGCAAAAAAGGAAAAAGAGGACCGAAAAAGGGAAAACAACAAAAATTAATAAGCATAGAAAACATACATAAATCATCTAATATGGATAATTCTAATAATTTAACACAAGAATCTGATTTATCACAATACGTAATTGATAACGAAGAACCTAATTTAATAGCCGAAAAATCTGCAAATACAAACGAAAATAATAAAACTACTGAGTTGGCAGTTAACACAGCTATACTTGAAGAGATTAAAGATGAAACTGTGGAAATATTGAAAGAAACATCTACAAAACCTATGGAAAAAATCCCTGCCAAAAAAACAGAAGGGCATATAAAAATACAAATTAAACGTCAAGGTAAAAGTAAAACCAGGTTATCGAGCATTATACTATCAGATAAAATTGATCATGTATCAAATGAGGAATCAAATTTAGAAACATATAAGTCTAATGAAGTTAAAGAAACTAATATAGGTATTAGTGAAGAACCTATTCAGGTAGAAAATAAAGATACTGTTATAGAAATATCGGAAACACCAAAAACTAAAAGAAAGGGGAGAAAGAAAAATGGCGTTCCGAATACAAATTTAGACACACCTGAGGTAGATACTGATAATTCTTTAAACGCTGAACCTGCAGAGATTTTCGCTGAAGAAAGCTTTAAACGCTCTACTAGAAATTTGAAAAAACTAACAAGAACTCCATCCGAGACTAAAATCATTGAAAATATCGAGTTGAGCACTCCAAAAGAAGAGGAACCGAAAAAGCTACCTTATACTCCAAAATTAATTACAAAAATTACACGTAAAAAGTCGTCCGGTAATCTGGAAGAATATTTTGCGGATTCTACAGTAAAGGAAATTTCAGACATTAATGAATCTCTTGATGAAACCAAAAATCAATCTTCATTTGAAATAGAAGAACATAAATTGTATATTGTCGAAGAAAATAAAACTAACACTGATAATGTTAAGCCTATACCTAACATTTTTGATTTTGATTTTAAAGATGAAAAATTTAAAGCTACTTCACAAGTAGAAGTTTTAAAAACACCAGAATTAAAAAGGAAAGGTCGACCAAAAACAAAGTCTTTGCCCATTGAAGATAATATTGAAATAAGAAAACCATCTGAACCCGAACCAGAAAAATTCGATATTAATACGGAGGATCCTAAAAAGTTAGTTAAAAAACCTGGAAGAAAAAGACGTTCCGTCAAAAGTAGATCCCCTGCGAAATCTTTGGTTAAAGTTGATAAACAGGCTATAGATAATTTACTAGCAGAAAATATTGAAATACCCACAGCATGCGTAGAAACTGAACCTAAACAGCTTACAAGTAAAGTTGATAAACAGGCTGTAGATGATTTACTAGCAGAAAATATTGAAATACCCACAGCATGCGTAGAAACTGAACCTAAACCGCTTACAAGTAAAGAATTGTCAAATGAAACACCTGCTAGTGAAAAACAAAAAGTGGATGAACCTGGAAATATTGCATTGTCTGTTTTAAATTTAAAAGCAGGAAGAAAACGCCGAGGACCAAAAAGCAAATCATCCTTAAAAATAGTTAATGAAACTGATTCCAACCATACAGAAAGCAATGATTACGAAACAGAAGAAAGTCCTTTGATATTAGAAAAAATCGCGACTGAAAAACCTATTTCAAACGAAATTTTAAATAATGAGGTTTTATCTAAGGATGAAGCCAAATATATGGCAAAAGAAGTTAAAAATCAAGAGGCAAATAGTAAATTAAATAAAAATATACCTACTGAAATTGAGAAGATTGAAAATTTGGACATTTTTGAATTTCATCCTGATTTAGAAACAGCAATAGGCAATGATGTAATACCCATTTCTAAGACCAATGTTAATAAAAAAAGACGTAAAAATAAATCTCCAGTGAAACCAATTTTGGATGAATATAAAACTGAAATATCTAGCGATACAAAACAAAGAGGTTCAGAAAGTTTGAAAAAGGTAGCTAATACCACTTTAGAAGAAGATATTAACGATACATTAAACACAGAGTTATCAAATGAAATTGACACAAGTGAATCCAGGAAACAGACGAAAAACCAGAGAGGTCGTAAGCCTAAAAAAAGCATTGAAAATGTCCTAGATACTGAGAATCCAGGTGCATTAATTGTTGACGAAAAAGATAAGAAATCCATCGAAGCTAATTTGGAGTTAATACCTAAGATTTTTGTTAAAAAAAGTAAAACTATCAGGGAGTCCTCACCATCCAAAACTTTGTCTTCAGCTGATGACGAAAACAACTACTTTGTAGGCAGTTCCGAAAATAAAGATATGATAACAGTTCTAAAAGATTCAAACGAAAGTTTATTTAATTTAGAAAAACCCGATGCAGAAAATCAGGACATTCTTAAAAGTTCTATAATTAAACAAACTGTAGTGGAAGATGATATATTTACAGAGGAAGTTGAAGATTCTTTTTCTGCAGCAGGTTTGGAGCTAGAAGCAAATCTGTCTTTAGAATGCAACAATATTATAAAACCTTCTCAGTTTAAGGATAATTTAAGCATAAGTAGTATAAAAACATCTCAAGAACCTTTAGAAAATATACCAGTAGTTCAGAAAAAGAGAGGCCGCAAGCCAGCTAAAAGCACTCCCAGTAAGATTGGGATGCGATGCGATGCAGAAAATCAGGACATTCTTAAAAGTTCTATAATTAAACAAACTGTAGTGGAAGATGATAAAAATGATGATATATTTACAGAGGAAGTTGAAGATTCTTTTTCTGCAGCAGGTTTGGAGCTAGAAGCAAATCTGTCTTTAGAATGCAACAATATTATAAAACCTTCTCAGTTTAAGGATAATTTAAGCATAAGTAGTATAAAAACATCTCAAGAACCTTTAGAAAATATACCACTAGTTCAGAAAAAGAGAGGCCGCAAGCCAGCTAAAAGCACTCCCAGTAAGATTGCAGAACAACCTTTAACCAATGAAGAATCCACCCCAAATATTACTGGTACTTCAGCAGAAAATGAAAACATGAATGAATCTATAAACGAAGACATGCTAGTTAAAAAGTCAGTATTAGAAGCTTCAAAAAGTGTTACCAAAATTAAAGTCAGGAGGAAGAAATCTGAGCTGGATAAATTAACAGCTGCAGCTGCTATATTGCCAGACTTAAATTTCACAGCATCAGATATAGATATCAGTAGAAAATCTAGAGCGTCTAAAACCAAAGCTGCGGAGAAAATATCTAAGGTAACTGTTGCAGAAAATGTGAGGTACACTGAGGATGTTGATTTGGAGAAAAACCTCGAAAAAATCCTTGGCGAAATTGATAATGCTAAAGAGAAGGATGAAGACCTTCCATTGGAAAAATTAGATGATTCGGCTGTTTTTGAAGAAATTAACAACAAAACCAGTAAAGCAAAAGGTAGAAAGCGTCTAAAACAATCTATCCTAGAAGAAACACCAAACAATGAAAAATCTGAAAAATTAAATCTTAAGAGGTTTAAACCAGAATCGGAAATCCTTGAAGATTTAGCATCTATAATGTCGTCTCCTATCGATAATATAACTGAAGGAAATGAACAAGAAGAAATTAAGAAAAAACCGAAACGAAAATCAAAAATATCTAAGAAAATTGATAATAAAAATATGGAAAACCACCTGTTTCAAGATTTTACCTTGGTTATAAACTCAAAATCCAGATCTGACTTTATTTTTAATAGGTTTGGAGATGATTTAATAGAAGAAAACAAAGATGTTAAAAATGACCCAGAACCCCTAAGTTCTGAAATAGAGGAAAAGAAAGAACCCCCAACGCCTAATATAGACGCAAACACAGAACCTCCAAGGGCGGAAATAGAGGACGATGATGATGATGATGATAGCTTAGGAAATGACAATGACGCTTTCGACGAAAGTTTTGATATGGTGGATATGGAGTTGGACGAAATACCAACTGAAAACACTATTATCGAAAGAGAAATACCTTTAAATACGAAAAAGGCATCAACTGACGAATTATTTGACAAATTGCTATATGAAAATAAAAATTGTTCCACAAGCAAAGTAGAAAGTGAAGAAGAAATTAAAGCCCGAATTGTTGCAGAGGCTATTCAAAGAAGTAACAGGTCATTAAATTTAGATGATAATGAAGTAGAAAATATAGAAACTGAATTTAAACCAGCAGATGTTTCGAGCAATGAATTAGAATTAGAACACGCAAAATCAGACAAGCCTAAATTTGATTTTAATAAATATTATCTTGAAAAGATTAGCAAGGAAACCCCAGCTATGGAAACAGGCGATGTAAATGAACCTATTTCTTTTCCGAAAACAATTGATGAACAAAATATTGAACATAAGGAAAGAAATGAGAAACGCATTAAAGATACAAACATAAAAGCAAAAAAACAGTCACCATCAAAAATAGGTGATGTGAATGAACCTATTTCTTCTCCAAAAGCTATTGAACTCCAAAATATTGAACACGAGGAAAGCAATGAGAAACCCATTAAAGATACAAACATGAAAGAAAAAAAACAGTTACCATCGCAAATAAAAATTACTAAAATTAAACCATCTGACGTGTATGAATTTGATGAAGAGTTCGATGAATTATTAATAAATCCTTTAAAAAAATCTTTAGATGTATTCAATTCAACTAAAATAACCGAAGATAAAGTTGTATTTTCTAAAAACGGGCTTAATAAAACAACTTTAAATGAGTCAGATAAAAGTTTATTTCACGAATCAGAATTAAGCATTGATGAAAGTGATGGTTTAATAAACATAGAAGGATCAAAGAAAAAGACAAAAATATCAAAATCAAGTTTGTTGGACACAAGAACACCTGAAATAAAATCACTTAAACGAAATCCTAAACAAGGAAAAGTCGCTAATATTGATTTGTTGGACGAACATTTGTTGTTTGATAAATCTACAGAAGAAAATATTGAGAATACTGAAATAAGAAGAAGTAGAAGATCTAAAAAGGTTACTTCTTACAATGAAAATGAATTAGATCCATTATTAGATATTGAAGACAAAGTAAAATTAAGAAAGAAAAACAACTCCCCAGATAACGGATTAATTGATATAACTGAAAATATAAATTTGGAACTTTCTCAAAAACCTGCACCAAGTACTCCTGACAAAAAAATTAACACGGACGAATTATTTGATATGCTAAAAGAAACCACAACAGTTGAATGCAATAATAAAGTTGAATCACCATTTATTGAAAACCTCGATGACACTTCCGAAGATTTTAACGACGATAAGTTTGATAACGCATTCGAAAATATTTTGGAGAAATCGATGGCTGTCCTACAAAATCAAGAGGACCATAAAAAATCTGATATTTATGAGTTTACAGAAAGTCCTGACGCCCTTGACAAGGAAGATCTTAAAGAGAAAAGAACAAGAAATAATTCTACATCAAAAGCTAATATCGACGATATAAACATGAATAGCTCCGATATAATTGAGAATGACAGTATTTCTGATAAAAGCTCTAAGGCTAATAAAAAGAATTTTAAGGCCAAAGATACAAGCGGTAAACCAAATTATTGCGAAATATGTAAAAAATCTTTTATCAGGGTCGAAAATTTAGTAAAACACAAACGTACTTTGACACATATTTCGAAACTATCAGAAATTGAAGCTAAAGAAGCAGAAGAAAGGGCGAAAACTCAACAGCAAGAAGAACATTTCCAATTATCAGAATTAATAGAAGATTCAATTATTTTGGATGAATCATCTAAAAATGACGCTTTGGTTTCTTCATTTTCCGCAAATCCTCCAAATAATTTGAAATTAGCTGATCTAATCAATGACGTTATCAATGAACCTGCCATTGAACATACATCAGATAAACAATTCCAGAATGCGTCTGCAAATGAAATGCAACCAGAAATTCGCCGATATAAGAGCCTAGGCGAAAGAAAGAGCTTTGAATCCGAAAACTCTTTAATCAACACGGATACTCAATCTATAAAATCTCCATTTTACGAACCTGCTTTATCAAAAACTACCATTCTTGAGAAACAAATTAGCTTACTGCAAAATATAATTGAAAATCAAAGCGGTATGTCTTATATAGACGATATATCTATGTCTTCTAATAACTCTGTAATAGAAAATACTTCCGTAAGGGCTTTCCCTGAAATTATTAAAGACGATTCCAGCAATATAACCTTTACAAACGCTGCCTCTCTGACGACAAACATCAAGCCAACTACAAATGACGAACGTTTCTTAAAACCGGCAACTCAGTTTGAAGAAATTTCCGAAGACAGCACCAATATAAGAAACTATGAAGAACAAAAGTTACGAAAAACGTTAAACAGAGACGAAGAACTATTCTTAGAGTGCTGCAGTCTTTTAAAGAGTGGCTCAGAAGTTTCTAATTACTCTAACAGTAAGTCCAACAAACTCCCAAATATACCGAACAAGATTGATATGCAACAAGCAGATGAGCCCAACTGGCTGGAAAACAAAAGCCTATCGAATAAAAACCAGAGTTATAATGTAGAATATTCAGACAATTCCAGAATACCAACACCTCTAGGTGATAATTATGCTGACGATGCTTCTAATTCGAATACCATCAACTCTAATTGGAATGTCAGTGTGGGGGGTAAGGACATTTTTGAAGATATATCACAGGATAAAGATGAGAGCTTTACGTTTGAAGAAGTACTGAACAATACCGATTCTGAAACCAAATCCGGCCTGTCAAGATTTGGTGGCATGCTGTCCAAAACCATCAAGAATCAAATCAACAATCTGACCAACAGAATTAGGTAAGTTGTATAAAATGTATAATGGAACAGTATTTAATTTAATGATATTGTTTCAGAAAAACCGCTGAAAAAAGGGGTAGCAGCTCTGAAAGGAAGACCATCGATGAACTCAGCGACTGTTCTACAAGTGATAGTAAAAAAATAATGACAAAAGGTGCCATGAAAGTCTTTGAAGGCTTAAAAGTTTCAATCCCAACCGAAGAACTAAACTTAGAGGAAGTCCTTAACTGCAGTCCAAGAATAAAAAAGTCGGAAATATTAAAAGATGAAGATAAAAAATCTGCAAAATCTGAAGAACTTTTGTCGCCATCCAAAAGAAACGCTAGAAAATCCAAGCCTGTAAAGAATAAATCACAGTTTGGTAGTAAATTATTATTCAAAATGAACAAGAAGAAACACAAAAACGATGTGTATGATTTCGAAGACACTCAAGATAATTTAAACGTCTTTACCAAACCAGACAAGAACAAAAAGGATGAGGATTCAGCAGTAAAAGATAGTGACAGCGAAAGTAAAGACAATGAACTCTTTGAAACAAACTCCGTATCCAGTGTATCTTCTCCATCAAACTCAGTTCAGCAAAATAAAAAACCAAAATCTCAGCAAAACTTAACAAAGAAAAAATGCATGATCATGGGGCGAATATTTAAAAATGCCGTCAAATCCAAAGTCGAAGAGGAAATTCGAGATATTCCGGCTATTGATAATGTTGAACTTGTTGAGAACTATGTTAAGGAAATTAAAAAGATTAGTGATAATGAGTTTAATTTGACAGAAGAAAAAAATCAAGATGAAGATAATGTTAAATCAAAGCATATTGAGAGCAGAAGAAAAAGTGTGAAACAAAAGAATAGAAAAAGAGCTCGAGCCAACTCTGAGTCAACTGATGATGAGTTTAGTATTAATAAGACCACAAAGAAGAGAACTTATAAAAAGAACCCAAAACCAGAGGATAATTGTATAAATCTGGAACAAGAATTAAAAGAATGCATAGGAGTTGCGAGTAGAAAAAGTCAGAGGAAATGCACGAGTGGAAAACAAAACGTCCTGATGGAATATTGGAGTAGTGACGATTCAGCATTCGAGGCTTTATTAGAGAGCCAAATCATAGAATCCAAACCAGATAAGGAGCCTAAGAAACCTAAAGAAACACCTATAGAAAAACCCCCTGTAGAAGAAGTAGTTAAAGAGGTAGTAGACAAAGTTAATACAATGCCTGCACCTAAATTAGTAGAAAAGAAGATCCAGAAAAAAGTGAAACCACACAATCAAAAATCAAAGAGTCATAAGTCGGAAGCTCAGGCGGCGACATCGAATAGGCGGAAGAGGGCGGCTGTGAATCCGCTTTATCATTGGTCGAGTTCTAGCGAGGACGAATCCAGTGATCTGATAACAGTGAAGCCGGTTCGAGACGAGGCCGATGACGAAGACGAACGGCCCATCCAGCACGGCTGGATAGTGGGCGACTCGCCTAAAAAGTTGGTGACGTTGTTAGCACACGCGAAAGGCAAAAAAACTGACATCGACAGTGTTAAAGAACAAAAAAAGCGAACTAATTCTGTTAGCTGATGGTAATAGTGAATGTTATAGGTTAAATACTTATCTAGTGCATTTTAAAACAATAAACACTACTGTATAGTGCACTATAATTATGTAAAATAAAATAATCAAGTTTTAGTGCTATTAATTAAAATATCCAAATTATTAGAGAAAAATCTACAGCAATTTAGCTTGTAAGGATCATTAATTAAAACATTTGAGAGAGCAGCTTTCCATAAATTGTAAACAGAATCACTTGTTTACATATTTAAAATGTTAAATTATATTAATTTGTATTAGGAGTTATAATACAACTGACTTTTGTTTCAGTGAAGAGTATGATTTTTGTTAAACCTTAGTGATTAGTAATTGTAATTACTAAACAAGTGATTGTTTTTATATCATTACCTATCACTGTGTCAAGATGAAAATGGCACTAAGTAATTGTGTAATTTGTTTGTATTTTTATACATTGTTTATAGCATATTCTTTGAATCGAATTTCTTTAGTGTACAATCCGAAAATAATCATTTAAGTTGCCATGTTTGCTAGATAAATTATTATTATTTTTTATTTTTACAAAATCAAAATTTTATTTAAGTTTTATTATTGGTATATACATATATTTATATATTTTCTCAAAAAATGTGGTCTAATTTTGTGTTCAATTTTTAGAGTAATTGTTTATATATTGTGTAATTATTATAGTCAATTCTAGTAGAGTATGGTTATTTTTGTTTATTATCTTGCTTTGCTGTTTACACTGCCAAAATGTGCCTTTGGCCATTGTAAGTCGGGTCGTGATAATTTTATTTCATTTTTCCTGTATATATTGTTGCATATAGTATGTGTATAATAGTCGTACAACTGGGAACAACTTCATTGGTATAAATGTGTTTGTCAACATGTATCAGCAAAAACTTTTTAATAAATGATTTCCCAACAGAATTTTTTGTTTATTTTGGTAAAAAAAATAAACAAAAACAAACATTAGTATTTTATGTAAGGACCATTTAATGATGGCTATGAGCTGAAGGCGAATGTCATAATGAGTGCAATTGTCTTAATAGCCCATTAAATGGGATGCATACACTATCATAATAAAGTAGAAAATAATAAAATAATAATAAAGTAGAAAATTAACTTCAAAAAACACCCAAGTAATTATTTGTTAAATTTGATAAATATTTGCTAATATAAATAAATCTAGATTTGTCAGATGTCCAAGGCAATGGTTGATATTGACAGAATATTGCCGTGTATCGCATTTAGTATGGGGACGTATGGCAGGCCCCATAGATATCACCTTACACTAATCTCCCAGGGTTATTTACCCCCTTTTCGTTCTCCTCCGACAATTCACAGTATTACCTGTGTTTGTTGGATCCGAAGTTTTTACGCCGGCTGGTAGATCCACCCTAGGAGGTCGTGGATGACAGTGTCTATGGTTAAGGCCGCTCCCGGATTTTTGCCAGCCGGGTCGGGCCATACGTCCAGTTTAGGCTAGAGGAGTGCGGGATAAGGAGGGCTATTGGTGGTTTGGAGGACATTGAACTGACCCAAAACTAAGTACAATCCGGAATCCTCCTCAACTATAAAATATATTTTTATAGCCTGAAAATTATAATACACTTGAAAAGAAAATAATTTGTTATTAAGAAACAAACAAAAATCTTTTATTTAAATAAAACCCCATGTACGCTTTTCTTCGTTTAATATTATAACATAAATATAGTCATAATATTTGGTATATTTGAGCAATAATACTATAGGGTGACAAAGTAAAAATGGATTAAAGTATAAAACTCATTAAAATAACACGCCTCTACAAATTTTGGATGGTTTATACATATATGTATCTACCGTCATACAATCATTATCCTAATGAGCTTTTACAGCAATGGAACATCATTATAGTTGGTTAATACTTGTGTATATTTATATGTTACACAATAACAATATCTAACCTAATTAATGCTAAAATTCGACTAATTGTATAAATAAATCAAAGGAGTTGAGGACCTTTTTAAATGCAACAATAAAAGCTGAGCCTAATATCACAATTTGTATTGAGAAAATTTATTACACAACGTGCGTTACTGTAAATGTGTATTATAAAAAATAATTTTTGAATAATTAAACTCGCGTAAAATTCAGCTACTTGACAGGTCATAACTCCCGATTTTTATATTAAGTTAAATACGTTGCAGAGATGCAATAATACATTACACAGATAACAAAGTTATAACTATTTGTATTTGATTATAAATTGACAACAATTCGGCCTTGAATTAATAAAATTATCTTTTGTCTTTATTTTTGCAGACATTAATAGTATGTCCCCAGTTAGTTACAAGGAGAAAATAAATATATTTTTGATATACTTTTGATTTTTCAGAAAAAAATATTCTTACTGATTTTTCTGCTTGCTTTAAAACCTCTAAAACACCATAAACTTTTTAATATGTTTAAACTTTTTAAAAAGTTTAAACTTTTTAATGTTTAAACTTTTTAAAGAAAATATTTTAAATTTATCAGATAAAAGTATTCTTAATGATTTTTTTCTGCTATATTTTAAAACACCAAAAACTCTTTAAAGAAAATTACGTTCTTTTTCCTCTTTCTAACTTAAACCAGGACATACTGTCATACATTTACAACTAAATACAATAGATTCATTGACTTAAAATAGGTCAATTAAGCCCATCTTACTTTAAACTGTAACAAATTTTTTGAGTTAATAAACGTAGGTAAAATTCTTATCTACCTATATAAAAAGTTAAGTGAATGTTTAAGATTTTTTTTAATAAACTAAAATTGTTTAGTTTATATCAATTGACGTTTTTGGTAGTATAGATAACGAACTGGAACTTGTCTGGAGATTGATAAATAAAATTATACTATACATTTAACAAACATTTTTTCTCACTAAATTTTATAAAACGCTTTAAAATTCATAAATGTTTACCTAATAGCCTAAAACACTCGGTATACCGCCAAAAGAGCTCCAAGTTTATCTAAACTTAAAATGGTCAAAATATAAAACAAAAAGTAATTACGTTAATGTTAACAAGTTATTAAAAAAAAAAAAAATTAATATAATAATGTCCCTCTAGCGGCTGAACGAAGAAACTTTGGATATAGGTATATAAAAATTTAGAGGTAAATAAACCTGTAAAAATATGGACAAAAGATTAATAATATACCTACATTAACAAAATTATACTTTCATATTGTTTTTAGAAAACTTACCAAAAAAAAAACATTAAGAGAGAATAAAAAAACCGTGATGACATCAATCCTTTTTAGTAAGATCTCTGTTTTAGCAATGGCACATAATTTTTTTTGAAAGTTACATAATAACATATTAAAATATTCAAACTTTAAAAACAAATAATAAAATAGGTGGCAAGATTTGTACACTCAGGACGTTTTATCTTGTTAAACAGCACTAACAATAATTGTTATCATACCCCAGTAGGTTTTAATTTTTAATAAAAAATGCATAAATATGCTAAAAGTTCTGAATATGTAGTATAGTAGTAAGTTTTGTATACTATTGTCGTTGTAACTCTGTTTATAATGAAATAATTTGGACAAACTTATTTTATCATATAAAGCCACATTATAGAAAAAGCAGGACAGTCAGTTACGCTATTTATGATTGAAATCGTGTTTGCTAATTAAATCACCTTGACTGATCAGAGATCCGTATGCGTTGATAAAGACGCATTCCCCCTTTCCCCACAAGTTTTACAACCACGGACTCAAGCCGCTAAGGTACTGCTTTCTCTCTACTGTGCTAAAGCTTTAAAAAAGTGTATTACATATTTGGCACAAATTCAGTCTTAAATAAAAGGATTAAATTAAAGGACTAAGAAACAATCACAAATAAAAATACTAAAAAATCACAAATTTAAGCAGAATGAAAAATGTAATCGTGGATTAATCTTGGCCGGTATTCCCTGAATTTCATTCTACAAAAAATTACCAATCCTGAAAATATTATCGGCAACCCAATTATGGAACAAATCAACTCTCCAGAAAATTCGGGGGCAAAAATTAAGATACCTAAAAATATTAATGATATAGTCCAGCAAAAAAACAAAGTATACCACTGTTGCAACATGTTTAATTGAAAATTGGATTTACATACATATACAGATTATAGCTAAAAAGTAGTGTTCTTGTTCTTTTAAATGAAAAAATAATAATTTTGTTGTAATTTAACTATTTGTATTAAAAATAGGCATAATAAAGTGTTACTTACTTTTTCCATTTACATGGCTCAACTGGAAAATTGACCAAAATATTCCAACAATCGGCAACGCTCCGCACATAGTTGCAACGGTGTAAACCGCAGATTGAGATAACAATAAAAATTTGAAAATGCCATGAACAAACATTACATAGAAATACAAGAATGCCCATGAAAAATATGCCAGATTGTTACAGGAGTGCGCGTGTTTGCCAAATTGAAAATGACACCAAATACCATTTAGGGTGTGATTTTCAAATACTGCAATATTGGTGGACTTAAAAAAAGGAAACATTATTAGTATTATTAATAATTTAAATGCCTAAAAAAATCATCTTTTTATAGTTTTATATGTCATATGGCTGGAGTGAGTATTTTTGTGCTGAGCTCAATGTTTGAAAGCCGACGCGTAGCGAAGGCCTACACTTGAGCGAAGCAAAAAAAGACACTCCTCAGCCGAATGAAATACAATGTTTTATCTTCAAGGCACAATTTTATTTGTTAAATGATACATAAAACATAACTACAATTATAATAACTTTTAAAAATTGAATTTTTGTATCGAAGTTACCAGGTGCATGTTAGAGTGCCTGCAATTTATTTTGCTAGTGACGTAATAGATAAAAAACGTCATCATTGCCGTGCCGCTTAATTTAAAATTGGGGGCACGTCAATAATATAATAATAAATTGTACCTGTATACATGTTTACAGGGTGTATATTAGATTTTATTGCAAAAATAAGAAGAAAAATGTAGGCATATGAACTAGTAAGCTTTAAAGCTTTGTTTTCGAGATACAAGGTATTAAAGTTAATAAATTAATTAATTATTTATTAATTTTTTGAGGGGCGAGCAAATAAACGAATTTTGTTTTATTCTTAATAATTAAAGAAGAAGAGAAAAAATGCAGGAGACAAAAAAAAGTTGTATTTTTAATTGCTTGAACCAAAAATAATATCGTCGTAGTAAAAGTCGAGGGAGTCGCGATTTTTTATCACAAAAAAGTAATAACCAAAAACGCTACTTTTTTATCATAGAAATTCCGCGGATTTAAAGTTTTGTGGCTTAATTCCCTTGACTTTTACTCAAAGTTTTTTATTAAACTTGTAAAAAATTAATAGGTATACCAAAATTTTATTTTTAAATATCCAGTTGGGTTTTCTTAATTAAATTTAAATACAGTAAATTAAGCACTTTACCTAAAATTTTTCGGCCCAGACGTTTTTGAAATTAAAAAAAAAATATTTTTACCACCCTGTATCTCGAAAACGAAGCTTTAAAACATACAAGTTCATGTTAAACAAACTTAAATCTACTCAGATGATGTCATCGGGCGTTCGGCTGAAAGCACCAGTAACCTAATTATCGATATGCTGACTAAGGACATTCTTATATCAACATTAGTCTAGATCAGAGACAAGGGAGAGAGAGACGATTCTTTAAATAGGAATTTCGGTCAACAATTTAGATGCGCAGGGCTGCACACAGATTTCAATGTAAATTGGTTTCTGCACATTTGTTGGCAGCCCTGCACTGAAAAGGCGCAATTATGTTCTTTACTGTCATTTTCTGTCGTCTGTCAGTCTGCTGTCAGTAAATACTAAAAGTGCTTCTGTGGTTTTGTTTATAAGTTTTATTGATAAGTTATTATACCTCGTTATATTTAGCAGATTGTTAATTGTTGTTAAATGAAATTATTTAAGGTCAAAGTAAATAAATTAAAATATGTAGGTATGTGTGATAAAATAATTTTCTTCTCTTCATTATTGCAATAATTTTATTCTCTTCAATAGAGTGTTTATTCAATTCGATTAGTTTTTAGAGTGTTTTTTTGTGAACATTGTTAATTAAGTTTTTGCTTTAAAATATTTTCGTGTAAGTATGTTTATTTCATATTTAAATATAATTAATATTTTGATATTTTTACATTATTTTTCTTTCTATTTTTGTCTATAAATTATTTGTGTTCAATGTTATTTTTGTTCCTGTTTTTTATTGGTTTACATGTTGTAAATAAAATAATTTTAATTTAATGCTATTTTAATTTTTTTGATATCTACGAAAGATCCTACTTTGTAATTCAATCGGTGAGATTAAGAACAGTACAAGTCCAAAATATTTATTTTTACAAATTATTTTCTAAAATTAATTTAAAAGTTTAAAATGAATTTTTGTGAGAAGATTTATATTATTTTATAAAATATTATTATTATGTTTTATAAAGTATTTAGTTGAAATATTTTCACAAAAATGCTTTTTGAACTATAAAACTGACTTTATAAAATAATTTGTCAAATTTTTTGGACTTGTACGGTTCTTAATCTCACCGATTCATTTGTAGCAAACAAAAATTAAATATTTAAAAATACCGCGCAAAATTTTTTTAGCATTAGTTCTCGCAGCCCCCGGCGAGGGCGCCACATTTATTGTTTACAATGTTTATATGGGAATCGTTCGTCTCTCTCTCCCTTGTCTCTGGTCTAGATTTTGTGTGGGATCGTTTTTTTAGATTATTAATTCTCTCTCTTTCGAAGTGACCACTTGTATTAAAAATTGTTAAATAAGTATTAAAATTATTAAAATATAAAAATTGTGTTTACACTGTTTACAACATATCAGAAGTGGGAAACGCGCGTGCCCAAATTATAGACAGCAGTTTATTATTGTTTTTTTGTTGTTATTTTTGTTTGTTGTGAAGTGAGTTTATATGGGACAATTATGTCTTCTGAACAGGATCATGAAGATACTCCGGAAGTGATGTATCAGCGCCTCTTGGAGGAACAGATTTCACGAAGAATTAACGCAGCTATTCAACGTTCGTTGGGAGCTCTATCTTCCTCTGATGATGGTCGAAATTCTGAGGCTGTAGCTTCGTCCTCAAGAAAAACTCCAACCCTTGTGACGGGCGATATTTTACCTCGTTTTGATCCGGATCAGAAAACATTAACAGTAACGTCATGGTTGCAAAAAATAGAGCAGCTGGGAACTTTGCATAAATGGACCGAATATGAAAAATCTTGTTACTTACAGAACAAACTAGCTGGTTCTGCACGAGACTGGTATAATCGTCTGGAAGATTATGATAAGACTTGGGACGAATGGAAAACCGCACTTACTCAAGCTTTTCCACGGCATACAGATTATGCAATACTTTTGGAAGAACTCGTGGCCCGTCAAAAACTTCCCGAGGAAACAATGACTCACTACTATCACGCAAAATTTTCCCTAGCTCAGCAGTGCCGTTTGGAAAATGATGGAATTATTTCCTGTGTGATTCGAGGACTACCTATCGAATTGCAAGCCAATGCACGAGCTTTTCAGTGCACAACCCCTGAGGAATTGTATGCTGGCTTCATTGCACCCATGGATAACTACCAAACACCAACATCGAGCCGAGTGAAAGTGCCCCGACTTTCTGTTGAGTTGCCGAACCACAGGCTTAAAACTCAATTTGCTTCGTACAATAGTGCTCGTTGTTATAATTGCGGAAAAAGTGGGCATATTTCCCGCGATTGTCGACAACAAAGTCCACGATGCTTTAACTGCAATCGAAAAGGACACATAAGTACGGAATGTCGTTTTCGTCAAGATCACGGTAATCAAAAAGAGCCCGCCAAAAATGTGAAAACTGTTTTAAATTGTGCGAAAATTTCGGATGTTTACAAGAAAAAATGTCAAATCGGCGGAATTGATATTATCGGTTTTATCGATACTGGAAGTGAAGTTAATGTCATAACTGCCAAAATTGCTTCAAAACTTAATCTCCCCATTATTAAAGAAAACAACATATTAAAAGGTTTTGGAGGTCAGTACGTGTATTGCGAATCAGTTGCAAATTTTTCGGTTATCATAGATGGATTATTGATCAATACCCGCGCAATAATTTCAGAAATATTTCTCAATGATATTGACCTTCTTATCGGACAACCTGTGCTAAATAAAGAGGGATTATCATTAGTAATTAAGAACGGTATTCCTGAATTCGTAGAAGACTTATGTAACTATTTGCAAAACATTACACTCGAGGAAGCCGAACAACGGCCAAAAATGTTATTATCAGAAGACGTGACAATAGGTGCGGGTTGTACAAAAGTGGTGTCTACTGTAGTTCTTGGAGTTTCCGAAGGCAAAAGTGTTTATCAAGAAGCAAAATGTTATCCCTTGGGCCAGTCCATTATACAGAGTCCTGCTGGCGTTCATGCTAGTTCAGCATCGCACATGATTATCTCCAACATTGGGCGCCAGGCCGTAGCGTTTCGTAAGGGTCAGCTGTTGGCACGCGCTGAGGAGTGCTTAGAGGGAGATGATCTGAAAAAAACCTCCTTCTTGGTGAGTCACTCTAAAAATAATTCTCCTTTAGATTTGACTGAAATTGATATTGATAAGTCGCTAGAGTCTGAATCATTAAATAAATTAAATAAAATATTAATGAGGTGGCAACATTGTTTTGCAAATACTACCAAGCAGTTGGGGGTAGTAAAGGGTGTCGAGATGTCTATAAAGTTGAAAGATGCAAAGCCCGTATGTTATAAACCGTACCGATTACCTTTTAAAGAAAGAGCGATTTTAAAAGAAAAAATTAAAGATTTATTAGATGCCGGAATAATTCGTGAGTCAAGTTCAGAATTTGCAAGCCCTGTAATTTTAGTTCGCAAAAAAAGATGGTGACTATCGCCTCTGTGTCGATTATCGTGCTTTAAATAAACAAACGATAAAAGATGTTTATCCAATTCCAAATATAGAAGAACAGTTAAATTGCTTATCTGACAAAAAATATTTTACAAGCTTAGATTGCAGTCAAGGTTTTCATCAAATTCCCATTGCCCCTGAATCCATATCCAAAACAGCATTTATAACTACCGAAGGTCATTTCGAATATTTACGGACCCCGTTCGGCTTAACAAACTCGCCTTCTGTCTTTCAACGGGTCATAAATAATATTATTAGTAGCTTAGATCTTGAAAACATTTTTGTTTATATGGATGACATTTTAATTGCTTCGGAAACAACATGTGAAGGCTTACGTTTATTAGAATTGGTATTAAAGCGTTTAGACGAGACCGGACTTAAACTTAATTTGCGAAAATGTTCATTTTTAAAATCACAGGTAGAATATCTTGGTCATACAATAAGTTCTGCTGGAATAGCGCCGGGAACTCGAAAAACAGATGCAGTTAAAAATTTTAAAGTACCTAAAAATGTTCACGAAATCCGTCAGTTTTTAGGTTTAGCGGGATATTTTAGGAAATTTATTCAAAATTTCGCGATCATTGCCAATCCATTAACGCAATTAACCAAGAAAAATGTAAAATGGGACTGGGGTCATTCACAACAGAATGCATTTGACCTTTTAAAGAATAAACTTTCAAGTAAACCTATTTTGGTGCCATTTGATCATAAATTAAAAACGGAAGTACATACAGATGCCAGCAGTAAAGGTTTGGGCGGTATATTAATTCAAGAACAAAAAAATGGAGACAAGCAGCCCGTGGCTTATTTTAGTAGGGTTACGAGTAAGGCAGAGAAAGTTTATCATAGCTACGAGCTGGAAACGCTAGCTGTTATTGAGTCATTAAAACGTTTTCGTGTATATTTGTTGGGTGTGCATTTTAAAATTGTAACCGATTGCAGTGCGGTTCGTTATACCTTTAACAAACGCGACCTTGTGCCTCGTATCGCCCGATGGTGGTTACAGATTCAGGACTTTGATTTTGAAATTTGTCACCAGCCGGGAAAAAGTATGAGTCATGTGGACGCACTTAGCCGAAACGCGTTAGATGCAGACGCAAGCATTAATATCGCTCAAGTTGCTAACGTAGATGATTGGTTTTTAACTTTACAACTTCAAGACACTGCTTTACAAATTATTATTAATCAATTAAATAGTGGTGAAAAAAATGATTTACAAAAGGAATACATTTTAAAAAATAATCGTTTATATCGTAAAACTTCCGCCGGCGAAAGATTAGTAGTGCCTAAGTCAGCTCGCTGGCAAATCATGATAAAATATCACGACGAAATTGGTCATCCCGGGCTCAGAAAATGCGAGACTTTAATTAAAAATAAATTTTGGTTTGCAGGAATGACTAGGTTCATTAAAAAATATGTTTGCGCTTGCATGAAATGTGCGTATAAAAAAGGAAATTTTGGAAGGACAGAAGGGGAGTTACATCCTATAAATAAGTCAAATGTTCCCATGGAGACTGTTCATATAGATCACGTTGGTCCGTTCCCAAAAAGTTCATCCGGTTTTGTGTACATACTTACGATTATTGACGCATTCACTAAATATTTTGTAGTCATACCTTGTAAAACATTGGGATCTAGGGGAAACTGTCAGACATTTAAATCAAGTGTTTGGAGTTTTTCTTGGATACCCAAAACGGATTATTTCTGATAGAGGGGTGTCATTTACTAGCAATCATTTTGCTGAGTTTGTAAATAACAAACAGATTAAACATATTTTAAATGCAGTAAGTACGCCCCGTGCTAACGGACAAATAGAGCGATACCACAGAACATTTTTAAACGCCATAAAATCATCTCTCGATAATGATAAATATTGGGATGAAAAAATTGCTGAAGTTGTTTGGGGTATAAATAATACCATAAATGCGAGTACGAAATGCACAGCATTTGAATTAATGTTTAGTCACAAGGGAAAACTGTTGCAAAATCTAGAAAGTGAATTGTCAGAAAGTACTGACGTCAGAACTAGGCGGCAAGCAGCTGCTGCGGCAATGGAAAAGATGGCCCATCAAATGAAAGAAACTTACGATAAAAAACATAAGGTACCTCGAAAATATATAAACGGTAACCTGGTATTATGGCGAGACGCGAACTCTTGTAGTCAAATAGGTATCAGCAAGAAACTTGATTCACGATATTCTGGTCCGTATATCATTACAAAAGTTTTGGGAAATGATAGATACAAAATTCGAAGTATAAAGGGTTTAAAAGGTTATAAAAAGTTTGAAACGGTAGTAGCAGCCGATAGTTTACGGCAATATCATAGTACGCCGGGTGCATCTAGTAGCGACTCTGACTCTGAAGACGAATGTGTGTAATATAATTAATCGAATATATGTAAACTGTAAATGTGTTGACTTAGGCAGTCTCAAACATGGAGTACATGGTAATAAAAAAAGGGGCAGGTTGCTGCTGTATACGAAGAGCATGAACAAAGGACCTTGCTAATTGTTGGCAGATTTCTGCCGGAAGGTTATGCTACTTAGTATTGAGATAAATTAGAACATGCGTGAAGGAAAGAAGATAGATTATCAGGTGATTACTTAAGCTTTCATGTTCGTTTGCGTAGGCGGTGCGTATTCTGGCCAAATGCGAAACGATCGGCGTAGACGATCATGTTTGCTGATGTTTATGATATTCGAGCTTATTGATTGTCATTAACAATGTTACACAAATGTTTGAGGATGCCTAAGGAAATATGAATAATAGTTATGCGATACTTCAAGGAATTTAAAATTTTAGGTGAATATTCCCGAGGACGTGAATTAAGTAGGATGGCCGATTGTTAAACAAACTTAAATCTACTCAGATGATGTCATCGGGCGTTCGGCTGAAAGCACCAGTAACCTAATTATCGATATGCTGACTAAGGACATTCTTATATCAACATTAGTCTAGATTTTGTGTGGGATCGTTTTTTTAGATTATTAATTCTCTCTCTTTCGAAGTGACCACTTGTATTAAAAATTGTTAAATAAGTATTAAAATTATTAAAATATAAAAATTGTGTTTACACTGTTTACAACATTCATATTAACTTTTCTTCTTATTTTTGCGATTTCTATTAACTAATGAATTTTCCCGATTAAATTTTAGAATTCCTTTATATACAGGGTGGTCAAAAAAAAAAACCTTTAATAAATTGAGAATCAATAAAAAACTTATATCAAAAACTCAACAGTTTCAGAAATATGTGTTAAAGTTGCATATATTTTTTTGAAAAAAAGCAATATTTATTCTTACCTTTCCAACTGTAGGTAATAGGTCAACCCAGAACATATTTAGCAAATATATAAGTCCAAAACCATGTAACCACAATACTAAATGATAAGGGCACATTTTTTTAACATTCTGCAAAATATTTGAATTTGAATTTTGAGCAGGCATTGGAAATGATATAGATTCAGATACTGTGCTTAAAAACGTTGAAGGAATGTTGACAACTGGATTATCCTATAAAAAAGAAGTAATTATGTTGCAAAATAATAAATTTCTTCTTACTCTTTCATTATCCTTGATTAGAAATCTTTCCAAAATGGTAAAAAATCCTGCCAAAATGGCAAAACCTCCAACATAAACACATGCCCAAATTGAAAGTGTTTTCTTACTCCAAGTTGTTAAATGTCTACGTTCTGCACCACGACATCTAAATTCATCACACAAACCATAATCAACAGAGATAAAAAGACCCACAATTATAATGGCTGTAGCAAAAATTCTTTGCTTTCCCATCACTTAAAAAAATATTTTTATTGAAAATTACAATTAGGTGTGTATTTAAAACTTACTTTTTTTGCAGAAAAAGAAATAATAAATTAATGAAAATAGTAACATTATTCCTTTAATTGGGTCCTGTAAATGACAAATTACCCTATTTCGATCCAAAGCATAAGTAACCATCATCCCCCCAAGAAAATAAGAAATCGTAATAACCATCATTTTTACAAAGGGTAATGGTAATTTTCTAAGCATAACATGTTTATATTTATCACAAGTATACCCCAATAAAATAGCTATAAGTAATATTGCACAAAAACTCAGAAATGTATTCCAAATAAGAACTGAATAAGCATTTGCATTGTTTGGTATAGAATCGACATATGCTGGAAAAACTATTAATAACCCAGTAGTATGAAAAATCAGGGATAACTTCATTGATAAATGTTCAATTTTCGAGGAGGGCGACATTAATATTTCTCTTTCATTTTCTTTGTCGAGCGCCCCCCCAATATCGTCGATTTCGGATAAGGATTCATCATCCGTAAATTGTAAAATTTCTTCACGATCATCATCCATTTTTAAGCTAAAATATGCTTAAAATCATCAACAATTGATTTATTACAACTAAATAACAAGTTATTAATAATTATAATATAACAATTATTAAATATACCAACAATTTAAATTAGACTGTTTTTTGTTTTTAAGGTTTGACATTTCAACAAAAACGTTTCAAATTAGGAGAGGATTTTTTGATTATTGCCAATTAACATCGAATGAAAATAAGTTAAATTTAGCAATATTTAACAACATTTAACTGCTTTATTTAATATTAAAAGTAATTTTAAGCGTAAATTTTAATATTTTTGTTTACACAAAAGAATACTGTAATGCCCGAAAAAGTTCTATAACAATGATATAGATGGCGACAGTATTGGTCATGCGCATTGTAAGGAAGTTTATTTACACAAACTCCGACATACGTTTTGTATAATTCTTATAATTTGAAAAGAGAAAATCGATATGTTGGTTGTCTTTTATTGATTCACAGAAGGTAATATAAGGGCAAAACATTTGAGGATCGGCAACATCTTTCAACAACTAAATTCGATAAGAAGGAAATAACATCAGGTCGAGGTAGCGGTATAACATCTTCCACCGGCCCGAACACCATGGCTGAAGCGGAGCAACAACAAGTGCCAGAACAACCAAAAGTTCCTGTTAAACAGAAGGAAGTTATCGGTAAGAGTTTCAGTAATTTTTACTTAAAATTTCGGAGTAGCGTGGGCCGGCGTCCATATTACCTTGCTCGAGCACATGGCGAATAAAACTCGATTGATTTAATGTTATGCAGCGGCATTACAATAGATAATTTTTAATGTATTAATATGACGTCCGTAAAAAGTATTTTGGTCAAATTTCATTTTGACGGGACTTTTGCCGTGATTTGAAAAACTTTAGGGAAGCTTTCGCCGCCATTTGTATTAGCGGTAATTTTATGTGAGAAAATAGGCCCATTTTTTTTATCTCAGCTTACCAACAATTCATTAAAAAATTTATATTAACCCCTAAACTATATAGTTTATATAATTCCAATAAGAGCGCATTAAGAGGATGCATATGATTCATGTTTATTTTTAGTACCTACCTATTTTAATTATAGGTACCTAAATAACATCCAATAAATATTTTAAGAAGTTTTTTGTTGTGGCCCACAACTTGTGGGTGGACAATTTTTTTAGGAAAAAATATTTTTTCCTTTAACGCCAAATTTGCATTTTAAAAATTGTTATTTTTTGGGTTATTACTAAAGAACATTGACAGAAGAATATTGAGGTAGTAGGTAGGTATCTCCATTTAAAAATTTAATATTTTGTGAGGCATAAAACATTTAAAGCTTGCTTATGACATTTCCATAACAAATAAACTATAATAATAAATTTTTAAGCTATCAACATGATTGTATAGTGTTACTTCAGTTTTAAAACAATTTTTTTTAAATAATCTATGGAAAATCTGTGGAAAATAACACTTCTGCACAATTATTATTTTCCATAGATTCTTTCAAACTCAAGCAACAAAAGAGAATAATATTAAAAAACAAGAATAATCTAGCAATGGTGTGTTTTTTGTTGACATGTTTTTTTTTTTAATTTGTAGCAAGTAAAGTAACTGGTACAGTAAAATGGTTCAACGTTAAAAGCGGTTATGGATTTATTAACCGAAATGACACCAAAGAAGACGTATTTGTCCACCAAGTAAGTAAATTACATTTTAATTAAAAAATTAAAAATTTGTTATCATTTTAATTTATAATTACTTAAATTTCTTTTTTAAATAGTTAAAATATAATTGCAAGCATTTCTAGTATTTTATGCAAAACATTGATAACTAATAACTTAGTAACAATAATTTGATAAGGCTTTTACTGTTTTTTTAATGTTTAAAAGTATTAAATGTAAAATGCATCATTTCTTTTTATAAAATAAAATAAATAAACCTTAAATTTAAGAGATAAACATGTTTTTAAATTTTATCTTATTTATTGACATTTTGATATATATTTACATATGTAGGGATTTATATCAAAATGCATGCTCCTTAGATCCATATCTGTTTACCCTAAGATATGACTGAGTCATAAGTGTGCTATATTATGGTACCTCCAACAAGTTGCCATTGTGCAGAAATTATTTTTTACGATAATATTTGCCTGCAGCTTGATGGGGAACACACAAATTACTGGAACAAATTTTGTAATTTTAAATGTTAAAATGTTAAGCTTAAAAACCATGTTGGCAGAACTGTTCATATTTTTAAATAGTAAAAAATAGAGAATAGAACTGTTACAGCACTTTGGGCCCGTGTATGTTTTTATTTCATATTGTAATTTTTTACGTGCGTCTAGTCTTATTTAAAATAATAAAATACGCGGCAAATTTTGTTTGTAAATTTCAAATAACTCAAAATTGGCATTTAAAAATGCTCGTGATGAATGTCATCCTTTAGGAAATTAGTTGGTATGGATTGCTTCACGGGGAAAGATCTTTGCTTACTAGTAGATGTTACTCCACAAAGGTAGCAAAAGTTTACATAAACTAAAACCAACCAACCCAACCCACAAAACCAACCAACAGTAAATGTACGCATTTAGGTAGTAGTAAAGTAGTAAAAAACACTATTTTTTCACGTAAATGTATACACTAGCTAGTATTTGTATACATGTACTGAAATGTATTGACTGTGACAAAATCACCCGATTTTCCATGCCAAGTCGAGAAAATAATATCGGCCAACTGGCCCCTGCCAAGAGTTGATGCACATATGGGCGCACTTTAGAGCATTTTCCATCACTTTTCTTAATACTTATAGCACTGTCTTTTCTTCTTCAATGCTCTCTTAGGGCTGCCAAGGTCTATGTCTTGTTCACATAAAGGCGAAACTTTAAAAAATCCCAAAGAAAGAAGTCTGAAGTAGTCAAATCAGGCGAGAATGGATATTGTGCTCGCGATATTTCCCGGTTGCTTAATTTCTCATTTTGGTGATATGCAGACTGCTCCAGACTTCTTTTTTTTTAAGGTTATTTAAAGTCTCGTGTTTATGTAAACAACCCACAGACCTAAAAATGAACATTAAAGATAAAATGACAAATATATCGCCTGAAGTATTGAGAAATGTAATGGAAAATGCTCCAAAACGTACAAATGCGATTGAATCGGTGAGAACAGTAGAAATCCAAAAATTTTTCTAAAATTAATTTAAAAGTTACAATGTATTTTTGTGAGAAGAATTGAACTATTTTACAATATTTAATTATTATATTTTATGAAATAGTTGGAATATTCTCACAAAAATGCATTTTGAAGTATAAAACTGATTTTATGAAATAATTTGTCAAAAATTTAACTTTTGGACTTGTTCTTAATCTCACTGATTCAATGGCGGCCACTTGATCGATATTATTTATTTGGCTTATTAACATGAACAAATTTAAAGGTCCACTATATATTATTCACGGTTTTTTTCATTTACATAAAAATTATAACCTTAAAAAATCAAAATACGCACCCGAATGTGCATAAATTCTGGCGGAGGCCGCATGGCCATAGCCAAATTATTTTCTCGACCAAACAGAAAAAAAATGTAAAGGTACAACTAAATGAAACATAACCGAGTTTTTTCATTTATACAAAAAATATAGCCTCTGGAAATCGGGGTGACAACTTTTGCGACACATTGTGTTATCGTATTATATATACGTTTTATTTTTTTATAAAATACATGCATATGCACATAAAATGTAATATTTGTTAAAAATGATGTGCTTAAAGTTGCTGGTATACAGGGTGCTTCTTAAGTGCGTAGAAAAAATACGGTTCTTATTTAATATTTCTGGAACCTATTTACCTTCATACTTAAAATTTGACAAGTTTTTTAACGTTATTAGGGTCTAATATCAGATACTATTGCTTGACTAAAACATTTATCATAGAGCATATAATTAGGGTGGGTACTTCACTATTTTGGTCCCAACCTTTTTTGTGTTTAAATTTTGGATTTGATTTTTGAATCAATTTTCTTCCTATTTTTATTGAGTTAGTGATATTTTTAGTCAAAATTTTAATACAAAATGCAAACTATAAATAGTTTTTAAGTTTTAAGTATATAGTACACACGCTCATAATGTTAGTACAAATACTATAATTATTATAGTACGGTTGGCAACACTGCCAATGAGTTGAAAAAATTGCACTTTTGCCAGTTTTATAAATATTTTTGTATAGGACTGCAAAATTTTTGTTAATTCAAGTTTTATTTTTTAAATGGATAGAACTCACCTGCTTGAATACCCGGTCCGGTACATCCCTAATAATAATTAAATATTTCTTTTTTAATGTTACATTTATAATGTTTTGTTTCTTTTTTCTAGTCGGCCATCATAAAGAACAATCCGAAAAAAGCTGTCCGCTCTGTAGGCGATGGCGAAATCGTTGAGTTTAGCGTGGTGATGGGAGAGAAGGGCAACGAAGCTGCCAATGTGACCGGCCCTAACGGCGAACCGGTACGCGGCAGTCCCTATGCGGCCGACCGTAAGCGCGGCTACCGTCAATGGTACTACCCGCGCGGCGGCAGAGGAGGCCCGCGAGGCCCCAGAAGACCCAGAGACAGTCAAAGCGAAGGAGAAGGTAGGAACGCCAATATATCTTTATATTTTAATAAATTAAAAACAGTTTAGTGCTAACAACGTTAGTACATCTTGTGCCAAGATTCTTGGCTGGTATTAATTTAGTGTGAAAAATATGAAAATATTTGTGAATTTTAAAGTTTTGTTAAATTTTGAAAAATTTTACCTACCTTATCGATTTTTACTTAGTCACACCTCTTTATTTGATACCAAAATCAAGGAGTTTGAATTTGATTGATAATAATATTAATAATTGAATTAAATGTTTTTCCCAGTAATACAAGTTTAGAAGGCATTTTATAAGAAAATAAAAAATACACCTTGTAGGTAAACACAATTGTTTTTTAAATAAAATACACAGGGTAAAAAAATCTGGACTAGAACTGCAACAGTTAAATTTTAAAATTTGCTTTATTAAAATTTGTGTGCCTATATTTTTCAATATAAATTATTTAAAAAACAAAGTGGATAAGGCATGCATAATTTTTTTCATTCGGTTTAATTTAACCTTTTAGCAGGGATTCTTGCCCCATTTCCAGGAATTGTGTAGCCAGGATTTTGTTCAGGGGGGCAGGAAAGGGTAAACTATATGCATGCTACAAAAAGTTTCAAGACAACATCTCCCACCCATTTTCTAACAAAATTTTTCTGGACAAGCAATTTTTGAGTATTATTAGCTATAATAGCTCCCTCCTTTTGATTAAATTAGTTTATTCTGAAGCCATAATTTATGTATATCAAGCATTAACTAATATGTTATTCTCTAGAGTTTGTTTCTTAATTTTTTTATATTCTTATTACAAATTTTAAATGTCTTTTTTCCCCTCTCAAGGTCTTTGGGATCATTGCATTTATTTCAAAACATTTGCCTAAATGCTTAAAAATATGTTATTGGTACCTGTAAAAGAATAGGTAAAAGAGCATTGCCTTTTAAAAACAGGTCTAGTCAGTGGTGGCTGGTGGATTTTATGTATACCAATATCTCAGTTATTAGACATGGGACCCATACCAAATTTATAATAGTTTAAAATGACATTAAATAAACAAGTTCGGCGCAAACAGAATTTAAATTGAAGTTTGCGAAAAAAAGTTAGTTTTTCCTGTCGCCTCACCCGCCTCCAGGCCCCCCTATTTGAGATAATTCAAATTAAAGTGGTGCAATTTATTATCTACTATAATTTATCGACAAATTTAAAATTTTATTTAAAATATCCAAGTATTACAAATTTTAATCGATTTTAAATTTTTATTATTTATTTTATTAAAATAAAAAATATATTTAAAATGGTATAAAACCTGTGATATTTGGATTTTTTAAATAAAATTTTAAATTTGTCAATAAATTATAGTAGATAATAAATTGCACCACTTTAATTTGAATTATCTTAAATAAGGGGGCCTGGAGGCGGGTAAGGCGACAGGAAAAACTAACTTTTTTTCGCAAACTTCAATTTAAATTCTGTTTGCGCCGAACTTGTCTATTTAATGTCATTATAAACTATTATAAATTTGGTGTGGGTCCCATGTCTAATAACTGAAATATTGGTATACCCAAAATCCACCAGCCACCACTGGGTCTAGCATTCCTATAACTATTAATTAATTATTATAATTAAAATATAATTAATTAATCTTTTACAAGAACAAACACTTGAATAAAATTTCCAACAACCTCAATAAAAGAGGCTTTAAGCCGTAATTTTCGATTTTCATACCTTCTAATGCAAATTTGCACATTGCAAACTGCGAACATAACCCAATTGTGTGTTTTATATTGCCGCAATCCTCTTGAAAACCAAGTTTTTGTAAATAATAAGTTTTAGTCAGTTATAAATGTATTTATGTGTATATTTAATAATACATTTTAAAAATGTATCACTTTTATAATGTAATAAACACATATTTAAGTATATCTAAGATAACCTGCAAATATTTACTGTCATTTAAAATTTGCTATGTTACCAAATTGGTTCAAACTTAAAACAGTGGATATGCGTAAATCAGTTTATATAAACAAATCAACGTTTCTGCATACGGCCCTAAGAGAATTTATCGATTTTTTAGTCATTATGAAGAGAAAAATAATTGCAAAAACCGTTTTTTAACAGTATGATTGGTTTTAGGTACTAATCTCTATAGACTAGTAGAAGTGGTTTTGCACTGAATTTCATTGCTTAAATGGTGTTATTTTGTTGTAGGTAAAGACGGCGCCGTATCTGGCGGCGAAGGTGGCCCAGGCGGCCCACCACGTCGCTACAGGCCGAGACGCGGTCGCGGAGGCTACGGAGGCGGCGGCGGCGGTTACTACCGCGCCCCATACCGTGGACCACCTGGCGGCGGTGACGATCAGAACGGCGGCGAAGGCGGCGGAGCTCCAAGAGGCCGCGGCGGCGGCGCACCGCGTCGCTTTTTCCGACGCAACTTCAGGGGTGGCAGAGGCGGACCGCAGGGCGGCCGTCGTCCACGCTCTCAAGACAGCCAGGGCCAGGCTGGAGACCAGGCCGGACCGGAGGGACAACGCGGCGGCGGCCAGCGTCCACGCTACCGCAGACGCGGACCCCCGCGTCCCCGTGCCGGCAATTCCCAGTCAGAATCGGGAAATAACACCAAGGTATGTCAATTACATCCTATCCTATTATGTGACCCTTAAAATCAGGAAATTCAGTTTTCGAAAAAACGGTGGGTGAGCCATTTTAATAATTGAATTTTAATAATTGAAGTAAACCAAAACTTAACGTTACGAAAGATGAAAACGGCGGGCGCACATGCCTGCGTCGTAAAATGTTTCAGTCGTATGAATAAAACTTGAAAACTGCATTAAAGCTCAAAAAAGCTTAACAACATAATCCAACAAAACTCGAATTTGAACTGTCCAAAAGAAATTTTACTTCAGCTGAGTGGTCCATAATCATGTATTTTTATATGATAGGACCAGCGAATTTTTGGTCCTCATTTCCTTGTTTCAATCTATAATCTACTTTTCCACCAAATAAAATATATATATTTTTTTAATTTTTCAAGGGGTTACATGCACTCAGATAGGTAGAAAAATATACATTTTCAAGAATTTTTCATCATAAAATTTTTATGAACTGTTGTATAATACATAATACCAATTTCTTACACTATATTTTAAACAATTTTCTCGAAAATTGTAAAAAAATTAAATTCTGGATCAAGTGGTTAAAGGAACATCAAAGGTTTTTTTAAATTTCGCCAAATGGCGGCCTCGGGAATTTTTTTTATGAAATTTGAGGAAAAAATCACTCGATAATAATAATAATACTGTTTATTTCCATCTAAATAATTTACATTTTGTTGGATATTGAAGTAGACAAATTTGTATAGTAGTTCATTAGTAATGAATCATTTCAAAGTAGTTTATGGTAGGCAACTAACCAAACACCTGTATATTGTTTATTCCATACACATATTACACAGAAGAAAAAGAATTTTTTCTGAAGAATCGACTTGATTTGCTTAAAAAATGGACTTACACCAGTTATTACACCCAAGTCCACAATCCACACATCTCGTTTCGCGCAAACTAAAAATCACTGCAACATTGCACAGAATCTAATGGCGGCAATTTTTAAGTTGGGTTTGTGCTGTTTATACAGATTAAAAATCGTTTTAAACGTTGTGTTTCTTACAAAGGCACTTGTAAGCCTCAAATAAGGCCCTGAAGTGCTAAGAACAACCATTTTTCTCGTGTAATTTTGTAAAAATAAACCTAATTCCATCAGGATAGTCATCAAATTGTAAAATTTGTGGGTTATGGTAAATTAACCTTAATTTGACAGTTTCATGACAGCCCTGAAAGAATAAGGTTTACTTTTTTACAAAAGAGGAGTAAAATGGTTGTTCTTAGCACTTTAAGGCCTAATTTGAAGCCTCTGCAAGAAACACAACGTTTAAAACGATTATTAATCTGTATAGACAGCACAAAACCCAAAGCACAAGAATTGTAAACAACATACAATGGCCACTGTTAGATTCTGTGCAGGGTACAGAACAAACCAGTGGTGCAGTGATTTTTAGTATGCGTGAAACGAGATATAACATACCTTGATGTGTGGATTCTGCTCAATTCTTCAATTGCATAACGCAACCGGTATTACATCCAATCCTGGTTGCCTACATTCTTTAGAACCACGGGAGCGAAGCCGCGGGTATACAGCTAGCTGTTTATCAAAAATAGACGTTTTAGATTCTTTGATCAGGCTTAAGTGTTTAACACCTAGAGAATGCTGTATTAATTTAATCTAAATCATCCATCAAGTGCTTTATAAAATGCAGTGGCCACTGTAAACGCAGTTTTGAGAAAAACGCTCAAGTTTCTCAGCTTCTTATGAATATTAATAAGGAATATTTAAAAATTATTTATCGGATTAATTTTAAATTATGTACTAAAATGAAAAAAAAATATTTAAAAAAATTCTAGCTGCATGTAACCACCTTTAAAGATGGTATTATTATTTTGAATTTATTTATTTATTATAAATATACTTATTATCACAAAAACAATACCTTTACAATTATTGATGCAAGATTTTTTGTCCAGGACAAAAATTCAACAATTTTGCACATGTATATTAGGGTCTCCCACTCATGTATTTTTCTTAACGCTGAAGTGAAATTATGTGTGATTTTATTAGAAAAGTCACTATAATATTTTTTTTAAGGAAAAGGTTCTGTACCACAGACCTACCTACCTACCTTGTTTGTAGGTCTGTGTTCTGTACACACTGTTCACACACTGTACACACTGTTCACACTTAAATTGTGAACAGATTATCTTATCTAATGAATAAGAATTTTATATAAGACCATAAATCATGATATGTATTTTTTTGTTTTATTTTATATTTAATGTTTAAGTAGATAAATGTGAACTGTTTAATTGTAACACACTGTGATTTCAGTCCTGATACCAGCAGTTTGCTGTTTAGGGACACAACAACATTGTATTAGTCAGTATAGTAGTATATATGCATGTATTTTATTTTTTTTTGTACAATTGTTGTTATTTTAGATAAATAATAAAATAAAAAAGTTATCCCGAAGGTACTCGCAAAAAAAAAAAAAAAAACATGATTTAGCGACTTAATAATTTTTTTTTAATCTGAAAAAATTCATGGTGGTTTTCTAGTAAAAACAAATATAATTCCACTTCAGCGTTTAAAAAAAATACCACATGAGTAAAAATGTATATGAGAGGAATTGTAGCAATATAATAATTTTAAAATTTTGTTTGGTAACTGGTATCTCTTCTTAATATTTTGGTTATTTTGTTTGTGTTAGTGTTTCCTGCCTGAATGTAAATCAGTGTAGTCATATTTGTTTATCATAGATTTATTTATATGCTGCACAAAATACTTTTTTGACCAAATCATAAATTGAGGGGATGGTTGTACAAAAACTATTGTAGTTGTAGTCTGAGGATATGTTCACACTCATACCAGAAATAGTTCTTGGAAGTAAAAACTACAAAATTTTACTTATTAATTTTAAAATTTTCGTAGTGGCCACCCTCATTTGTGCATGAATTCCCTTCTCTTGCACCAATCCTCACATAGTTTCTTGTTATATTTTAGGCTCCTGAATCTACTGCACCTGCAAAGACTGAAGTAAGTACAACCCTTTAGAAATCCTTTGTTTTTTTAGTAATTTGGTTATTTCTGTTAATTGTAAATGTTTTTAAAAGAATCTTAATAAGTTTACTTGAGTTTATGAAAACAACTTATATTTAATGATTTTTTTTACAGGAGAGTCAGCCTGTGCAGAACACAACCACTGAAAGCACGGCTTAAGCATATGCTCGAGTCAACCACTTATAATACTATATACTTATAATAACAACAAGAGTTTTCTTATATAGCAGACAAAAGGCATTTCATGGCGCATTGTTTTTTATGATTAATAATGAATATCGTAAGTAATCTATCGTAAAATCATATCTGCGTGCTGTGAATATTTTTAACAACGCAACTAAGTATATTACAAAGTTTGGCATTAATTTTTCAAAAGGGTTAAGGTAAATAAAACATTTTTGATACTTTTTATATTCTCATGGGTGTTTATATAAAAAATAATAGGTAATTTGTAAAGTGTTTGTATATTATATATAGATGCCTGATTGAAATCAATGACAAACTTTTTGTTTTTTTGGACAACTTAATCGTTTTTGAAATGTCTTAAGACCTTATGTCTTGCTGCAAATGATTTTTCCTTCATAACAATAAAAACCTAATAAAATACAATGTTTACTTTAAAAGCAACCATACAAGTAACCAAACAAAGTAAATATTGTGCCCAAAAAAATGATTGCAACATCTCTAACTTGTCTTTCCAATTTTTGCAAACAAAGGGAAAGAAATAAAAGTTTTTCTAAAAAATACAAAAAAATCCGTAAAATATAAAAAAGGAACAGTTTATTTCTCTGCTTTCTACTGTTTTGCGCAGTTTGTCCTTGGGGGTTTATTCTACACATTTTCATCACAGGTTTTTATGATAAAAAACATTGTAAATTGTTGGTTTTTCGGGTGCTAGTCATTTAAGTAATTGATCTATTGTACTATTAAACGCATCAATATGAAGATCAATATTGATGATTTAATATTATTTTTACATCTACATACTCTGTAATTTTGGAATGAGTTTTTGTTTTATTGTATTTTGTATTAATTTTTGTACAAACTGTTGTAAATGGGAAATAAATACATGTTCTTGCTAAACCTACTATTTTAATTGTCTTCCCCTTTCACTTTTCAGGTCAAAAAATAAAATTACCATATTCAAAGGAGGAAATCCATTTATTAACAATATAGTTTTACAATTTATTGATTTAGTTGTAAACTATAAAAACAGCTTTTTTTACCAAGAAAGTAATAACTGCCCTTTTCGAAAATAAAATTACAAATTTTAATCTGTTAAAGCAAACTAGTAATGGAAATTATAAACAGTTACCAAAACTAAAAATAGTAGTTTTTGTTATGATAAAGCTTCCAGTAATACACAACATTGATCTATTTACTATGTAAACAGATTTATTTAAATTTTTATAGAAATATAAACCAATTCGCAAAATATTTACGAATCGCTCGCTAACATTCATCAGTCAATTTTTCTATTTAAAACTAAATACATAAATATTTATATGACTATATACACATAGTTATTTATACATATTTCTATAATAATATTGGTATACCAAATAAAGACAATTTCATTCTGTCCCATAGTTAACAAGTTATGACATTTAACGTTAAAACATTTGAAACATAATTCCGTTATTGGGAATTATTTTTTGGCATTTAAAATTTTATTAATTGTTTTGTGCACAATGAAAGCTCTTAATTAATTAAAATGATATGGACTTTATATTGTTTTATATTCTATACACATTTTATTAGTATACTTTATATTTATACCTACATATAGATATTTTGAAATGCATTTTAAAATAATTTTTGTACAAACGTATAAAAAATTAAATCACTAAAATATGTTTTTTATTTGTTGCGCAGCAGTTCAAATAAATTTAAACATAAAATACAAAATTATTTATGTCCGCAATTTTTTTTTACTTAATAATCGTATCTTTTGCTGTGGATTTTACTTCTGTATCATTGCTGGAATCGGTAGCGTCCGCAAATAGAACATCAGGCATGGAACCAGTCTCTTCAGTCAATTCACTTGGCAATTTTTCAACAGCAGAAGGTGTGGTGGTCATCACTGTAGCTTTTTCAACGGTTGTCGTTTCTGGAGTGGTAGGCGGCAAAGCATTCAAGTTGGTGAATAAAACTGTATCTATGTAGAACATTGTCCCAAGATTGTAAACGAACACCTCGCTTTCTACTATTGTTGCCTCATTAACTGTAACATTTTCTAAAACAAATAATAATTAGGGTAACTACAATTATACATGGAGATTCTTAATTAATGACTGATACTGGATGGGCTCAATCCTTGGATGATTTTAAGGAAAAAAACAGTAAAATATTTGATTGACACCAATACAAAATATCAATCGTTTTTTTATTATTTTGAATTGTGTTTTGAATCGTTTACAATTATATTAAATCGGGAATTTCAATAAAAAATAATATTTTAATTATTTTGAATCAAAACTAAGTTTTTTGTTTCAATCGGTCTGAATCGGACACTATTAAAATGAAATTTAAATCTGTTTTAATTATCGTACCATTTCGTCAATTTTAATTGAAATATTGATACATACAACTGAATATTTGTATCCCATCGGTATTTAAAGTAATCGAGCGTGCTTAACTTAACTTAATTAATGAATTCAATTTTTAAAATTTTTTGTTGCAATTATGTTTAATCTTGGGCCATTTTACTTAAACTTAATATTATTTAAATTAATTAATATTTTATTGTTGTCTCAGTAAAAATTGCCTTTTTCGTCCGACGAACGGGTTTCAAATAAAAACCTAAAGCATTTATTACTTAAATATACTACGCCAAAAAAATTCGCTTTAAAAATTTAAAATAACATTTAACTTGAGATAATATTTATTTAGTTGATTTAATTAAAAAAAATTGAACTAAAGTAAAATTACAGACATCAGATTACCATTTCTTAAAAAAAACTGACTTGTAGCTATTGTGACCAAAAAAAAGAAGTTATATTAGTTTTTAGAACGCTGTAAGTTCAATACTGCAACGCAATGCAGCCATGCATTGCCCACCGTTGTAGAGCGATGATGTTGCGCTATATTTTTCCATGTGGATTTTTTTTTTTGATTAGCCTGGTCACTTTTACATGAAAACGGCAACTTGCGTTTTTCTCGCCACAATTAAATTAAAATTTTATAATTTCATAAAATAAAAGACCCGGTTAGTTATTTATTGTTAATAATGTTAAATTTTAACGCCATATTGGTCACGAATTTTAACTAGACACGAGCAAAGCTTGCGAGCGAGTTTTTAATGAAAATGAGCGTCTATAAAAGTTTATAAAAAATTTGCATACTAAACTTTTTCTACGACAAATATAAAAAATAATGTAGGGTTTTAAAGTTGGCGTCGAAAAAATTGCCTTTTTTGGGAAAAATTATTATTATTGTTATTTCTTAACAATATTTTAATTAAAAAAAACCTTTATTTCAGAAGAAAAGTAAAACTTAATTGAATTATATTGATTTCAGAAAAGAAACGTTAAATATAGGTACTGCCAGTTGGGTCTTTTTTTCAAAAAGGAGACCATAACAAAATAATACATTAAAGTTAAATTACAAAATTATAATAATTATTATAAAAATTATTTAATTCTAATTTTTATAAATCGAAGGGTCAACTAAAACAAAAGTTATGTTAATTCACAGAATATGTTTTTGCGGCCCGGTACAATATTCTTACTGAATTAAAATAAAAGGAATTATAATTATAATTATTATTATAATCATAATGTCGAAAATTTACTTTTTTTCTCGATATGTACATTTCAACAATGAACGATTGACCAATGAAAGTTCGATATATTTTTGTGAATTAAATATTTATACAGGGTGATTCACCTAACTTATTCTTTGGAAGTTTATGGAGGACGGAAAGATATGGATTTGAAATTTGTATAGCAATTATAAGGCAATGTAAACTATTTTTTAAAATTATTTTCCATGGGTTGAAACGAGTCACTGTATAATGTTTAAATTAATTTAATGTATGATGGGTTGCATACCAAAGAGCGTAAATGTTTTACATCTGGCAACATTGTAAAACGGGGATGGGTTTTAAGAATAAAACATATTATTGTTTATTATTTTAATTTTATTTAAACGTACAAAGTAAAAAATGAAAATAATAATATTTATTAAATGTTTCTTCTTTTAATAGAAACATTAAATTTTATAGAATTTTGAGAAGTATATTTTAAACAGTCTGTTATTGTTTTTGATGGTTGCTGCGTTCTTTCTTTGAAGCAAGTGGAATCTGTTATTAGTGTCCATTCTAATGCCTTTTCGTGATTTAAAATTTTTACTTCAAAGGTATACAAATCGGGGTTTTCATTGGAGCAAACCAATTCGACAGCCCAATGCGCCAAACCATCCAAAGAAAAATATGATATTCTAAACAATTTTGAATCGAACACCGTCCATTTGAAATCTTCAGGTTGGTTTACTTCCACTGTTTCCATATTATATTTCAAATCCTTATGAGAGGTCTTTAAATGTTTCAAAATGAATTCAAAGTTTCCTGTTTCAGAGCAAACCATTGGGCATTGGTGCAGACGTGACGGACATGTTTCTTCGTGTTTTCTTAACTGAGTTTCAATGTAAATTTCATTGCATCCCAATTTTTTATATTTGCAGGGATACTTTATATGCGTGGTAAATTGTTCCATGAAGTAATTTCTAACATTGAGCCACTCTCCCTCACAAGTTGGGCATTTTTCTAATCCTTCTTTGCATAATACACAAATACTATGTCCGTTTGAACACAGATAAAGTGGCGCCCTCATCGTCTCCATGCATACGGGACATTCCAATAGTTTTATCATATTTTCGTCTATTCCTTTGGGATTTAAATTAAACTCGTTCAAAAACATATTCTTGTTGTTTCCAAGATGTTTTAACGAGTCGATGTCTACAATAGTGGCGTTGGGGTTTTTATCTAGGTTATGTTCGTTATAAAAACCATTTAGTTTCGTCAGAGTACCTACGCTTTTTAATGTTGAATTGTTTGTTGTTTGGATAGTTCTATGCTCCACGAAATATTCCATATTTTCTTCGAAATGTGCAAGTGGATTCAAGGCGTAATAAAATTTATTATCGGCAACTGAAGTCTTTAAAAGGCAGTTTTGGTATTCATCGGATAATATCTTTACGTTGAAAGGTTTAGACAAAGACAACTCAACTTTAAAAATATAATTTTTACTTTCGATAATGTGCTTCTTATGGTTTTCTAACAAATGTCCGCTTACCTCAAATTCGCTTCCACTCCACTCGCAACCTTCAACATTTTTCATCGGACACGGTTTAATTTTGAAATCGCAACTTCCGATGTGCTTGGTGTAATGCTTGGACTCCACCCACTTATCGCAGCCCTTGGATTGGTATTTGCACGGCAACATCAGTTTGGCTATAATAAACATGTGCGCCGTATTGAATACAGCTCTGGATTTCATTTCCTCCCCACACTTTTCTTCAAAGCATTTTCCACACACGTTTCCTTTATCTTGGACCAGGAAAATATCGGAGGTGCAGAGCTCATCGCAAATCTGGCAGTGGAATATTTTCTCTCTCAAAAGATCGTTAGTAAACTGATTCATCGTTTTCTAAAGACGAAATAAGTAGGTGCTATGCAGTTAAACAAATTAAATAAAACGTACCAGGAAATTCGGTGTTGTTCAAAAACAATAGTTCGTAAATAATTTTGCGTCGACAATATTTTTTTACTGCAGTTATGATAATTATTATAATCTATCAACAAATATAGTATCAAGGACGCGCCAACCAATGGGCCGGGGCCCCGCGGGGAGGGGCTAAATAAATACAGATTTGCCGGCGCACAGTGGGATGTGTCATCTTACAGAAAAAACCTTAAGGAATTTAAATATGTTTTTATTTTTGTAATATCTTTTTTGGTTTGATGTATTTATACATTTTTTTTGTTAATCCTGGAGCGGGCCTGTTGGTGCAAATGTGCACCAATAATACTTAATAAGGGCGTGGGGCATGAACAAGTGTTTTATTGGTTTTATATCGCTAAGTATCTTCCTAGATATTGATGACGAAGGGTTAATTAAGTTTGTTTGGTTTAAATTTTATTAGTGTGTTTGTCTACAGCGGTTTAAATTTAATTGGAGCAATTTTGCTACCACGCGCCTAATGATGTAAGTATATTTTTAGTTGATTCTTTTTTAATTTTGCTATTTTTTTCTGTTGTTACTAGTTTAATATTGCTAAAAAATATCATTAACCAGTTTCTGAATATTATTATTATTATTATTATTATTATTATTATTATTATTATTATTATTATTATTATTATTATTATTGGCATTCCTAATACATGTATAAATATAATAATAACTGTAATTATTATTATTATTAGCTTATCAAAAATGTGTATTTTATTCTATTTACTTTATTTTAGGGCAAAAGGTCTAAAATTCGGTTTTACCTTCATATATATAATTATTTCTAAAGCGTTACAAACCTGTAGAAGTAATAAAAAAACAAGTTGAACGAAGAAAAAAGCGGTGACGTTGTACTATATGTGGACGACAGAAATATAAATTTACGTCACTATTTTGTGACAAATGTGATAATTTCGTTTGTGAAGAGCATAGTGAAAGTACAATTTTGTGTTACAAAAGTAAAACATATAGATGAACGTTAGATGACTAACTTTTATTTTTGTAAAATATAAATATATTATATAAATATTTAATAGATATAATATTTAAATGTTTAATAAACATTAATAAAATTAATTATTTAGACTTTATTTATAGTATTTACTGCTAAAACAATATTAAGGCTGTTTTAAAACTATAATTTACAGCTGGTAGCATATTAGCACCACGCGCCCACTCATGAAATATTATAGGACGCGCCCGCTCTAGGGTTAAAAACATTTTCTGCAAATTCTCTGAAATATTAGTGGCGTTTTTTCGTTATCTATTTTTTTTTCAATTGAAAAATAGCCCATTTCTCAAAATACCACTTTTTTACGGATGTAGAAAGTTTGAAAAAAAATTAATGAAAATTTCAATGTTTGTGAAAAACATCTGCAAAATGTTTTTGATTTTTTTTTTGAAAATTAATTTTAAAGCAAATAATTTGAAATAAAATTTTAAGTAGTTAATTTGTAATGGAATTTGTTTTATGATTTTTTTACTCTTCGCTTTTTTGTTTGTTTAACTACTAATTTTATTTATTGTATTTATACATAGCTATTGTACTATGCTCCACACCTCAAAGTCCCACCACGTGACCACGTACGGAACGCAGTCTTTTGAAAATTTGGCATTTAAGGCTTTCCAGGTTATGTATCTGTCAAAGTATAGTCAACGAAAGAAATAATATTATGTTTAGGCCTTAAAAATGTATAAATCTTTTTAACATTACAATAACAATGGATGATTTAAGAATTTAAGAAAATAAATACTGCATTTAATGAAATTCTAAAGTGTATGGTGCCAAATAAGTAATATTTTTGTGCATTTGGTCCTAATATCTGGTTTTCTTCATAAAATAATTTTAACTAAACAGCATTTATTAAAAAAAATCTAGCTTCTCTATTATGGAATAAGAATATCCGTATTAAAGGTTAGAAAAATTTATTTTGACCAAAATAAATAAGTATTTTGGATTATTTAAAAGACTGTATAATATGATAAATATGGTAGTTTTTCTTATCCAGCTTAAAGTGTACCTACATAAAGTTTTGTCAATACAAATAGTTAAAAAGCTTCGACTGAATGTGATCTACATCAAAAAATCATTATAACTTTAAAAATTTTAATAAATTACATGTCATGGGAGTATTAAATATTTTCACATTGCAAGTTTATCTAATAATTGTTTGTTTTCTTATAATCTAACTTAAAGTAAGTATGCCGAGAGGTATGCACAAGTTTTGTCGTTATAAGTATAAAAGCTTCAATTTAATTTGAACTATATTCAACAATTATTTAGTATACCTATATTTATTTATGACCATATTAACACACTCTTTCAAATATTCCACTTATTTATTTTGGTCAAAATATATTTTTTTAACCTTAAAATACAAAATTAGATAATATTTTTTGTTCTAATACATTAACCTACCTTTGATACAGATATTCTTATTTCATAATAGAGAAGTTAATTTTTTTTAATAAATGCTGTTTAGTTAAAACTATTTTATGGAGAAATGTAGACTCAATGCACAAAAATATCACTTATATTGCACCTTACACTTTGGAATTTCATTAAATGCAGTATTTATATTCCTAAATTCTTAAACCAACCATTGTTATTGTGATTATAAAGATTTATTAACTTTTAACGCTTAAACATAAGCGGTAACACTATAAATATTGTTTCTTTCATTGACTATATATAAGTATTGTATATAAACTTTGTATACCATTTACCTAAATTCAACCGTTTCTGAAATATTTAAATTATTTTTAAGATAATAAGTTGAAATAGTTTCCCAGTCAGCATCCAATTCAGAAAGATTTCAGTATGAAGTCTTTTAAACAACTTCGTGTAGAAGTTCTAACATGACGTCTTAAACAGCTCCTTTTTATGAGCTCAGAATTCTGAGCTGTTAATGAACTCATAAATAAGAAGTCAATTTTTTTACGTACAAATGAAGATCTTTTCTTGACCTCTTTTTGAACAATTTATTTTGAGCTTACAGAGTATTCTTTTTTCTTACTTCCAATTGAAATCATACTATTAACTCTTTTAGAAGTCAACATGGAGACGTCCAAATCATAAAATAGAGCTTATGCAGACTTAATTAAGACGTCATATTGCTGTCTGGGTTGTCTTTCTCTGTCTGAGTACGCCATTTTTACTTATTTAACAAGATATATTGACATAATGTCACTATAGTAATTTATTTTCAATAAAATTTTTGGTATACTGAGGCTTCTTGATTTCTAACAGTTTAAAAATCATTTAATGATAACATTTAGAAAGCGAATATTTCAGAAACGGTTGAATTTAGGTATATAGTTTGTTATATGAATTATGCTCAGTATTTTACAAGGAATCGAAAAATAAATTCATATATAGGGTGATCCTTTAAAAAAAAATGAACTTTTTGTTTATCCCTGTATATTGATAAATTTTCCATTATTTTATACATAGAAAAAAAGTATTTTTTAGTACCTACATAACCACAAATTTTTTGGGACACTTAAACATCAGCTTATACCTAATAATATAAAATAAAAAGTTTTTTACGATATAAAGCAGCAAAAAAAAAACCGATTTTATTTAAATGTTGTCTCGAAATCTCCTAAAATTGTGATTTAGTGGATTTTTTGTTTAATTAAATTTTATATTTTAGTAGTTGGTAGTAACGTAACCTTTATTTTAATTTAAGCCTAAAAGCTTATAAAATTGTGGTTTTGTAGTAAAAGTAATTATTATTTTTTAAATGATCTTGAATTATTTTAAGTCAGAATATCAGTGATATTTTATTACCAAAAATGTTGTCTCGAAATCTCCTAAAATTGTGATTTAGTGGGTTTTTTGTTTAATTAAATTTTATATTTTAGTAGTTGGTAGTAACGTAACCTTTATTTTAATTTAAGCCTAAAAGCTTATAAAATTGTGGTTTTGTAGTAAAAGTAATTATTATTTTTTAAATGATCTTGAATTATTTTAAGTCAGAATATCAGTGATATTTTATTACCAAAATTAAGTTAAGTTAACACGATTAAAAAATTTAAATGCCAAAAGACTGTTTTGATATGTAAAATTGGTTATTAATTTTGATAGACCAGTATGTAATCCCGTCATAAATTTAAATACTAGCTTAAATTAATATATTATTTTTATTCATTTCTGTAGTTTCTTTACATACCCAAATTTTTATATGAAAGTTTTAGTTATATTGAAGTATTCTTTTTTTATATTGTAAGTATGCTAAAATCATCGATATTTTATTATTTAAAGCTTTTTTTAATAAATGTTATCAAATAAATAGAACTAAAATCGTTTTCTAAATGTCTCAATTTGCTAAATTTGATGTGGAACATCGTAATGCTGATGTTTTCGATTAGGGTCACAATGCCCAATTTCAATAACTAAACTCGAGGGTCCGAATATAAAAAGAAAAGACCAGCCTTCATAAAGCAATTTTTATACGTTCCATATTTGCAAAGCAAAGTAAAAAAAGCTTATCTGTTTTACAGTCCACAAATTAAAGGGCCATAATAAATTTCGTTAGGTAAATGCATTAATTCAAAAGTAAAATTTTAAAGTAAAAATGACCCATATCTTAAAAATAAATTTATTTGGTATCTATTTTTTAAGAATGGTATTTACCTTTGTCTCTTTTTATAACAATAGTTTTGTTTCCTAAAGAGTTCAGCTTTTCATCGTTCTTTAAATCCTTATCATAAAGTCTTCCTTTGACAAAATGATTTAATAGTATTTGTAAACCGTCCCCGGTGGATAAATAATTGTCAGGCATTTTGTCCAGACCCAACTTCTCAAAAGCTGTGTCGGTAGGTACGAAAAATGTATATCCAGTACCTGAAACGTGGGGAGCCAGATCGGCCAGATTTAAAAATCTCGTGATATGAGAAAATCTTTTATCTCTTTCGAGTGCCAAAAATGCATGTGATAAAAATTGGGCTCCAAACCACGGAAAAGCGAGTAGAGGTGGTGTTTCCTTATCTCTATGCTGCTGATGAAGTTTAGAAACCACAGATTCGCTTACAAAAAGTACTTCACCGATAAACATGATGTTGCCTTTTGAGACTGGCGTATCTCCCGTTACCACCATGGCTCCATTTACAGTCAAATTTGCTGTAATATATATTGTTTAAACATTATAAACACTTTGTAATGAAATACCTACGAGTCTTCTTAAAAAGGATTTCGCGTCCGCCAATTGTTTTCACGGTTTGGCCGTCCTTAATAATGTCTTGTTTCAATCTACCTTTGACGAAGTGATTGGTTATTATGCTCTCGGTGAATTCCGGCACGCTGAAAGGGTAAAATCCCCAATCAATCGGATGCCATCGTTGAAAAGCGTGATCGGTCGGCACGAACACTGTATATTCCTCACCTAAAACAAAAGAAACCTTGAATACCTATATATTTTTTAGAAACTAATGTTTTTCAAAGATATATAAAATTTGAGGCTAGGTTACAAAGTTTGCAAAGGAGAACTTTGTAGACTATTTTATTTAAAGATCTTTGAAAAATTGGTGCATCAGTTTACCTAACATTATAAAATAAAAATTTGAAGTTTTTTACGATATACCTAAGTTGTGATTTAGCGGTTCTTTTTATTTAATTAAATTTTATATTTTAGTAGGTTGGTAGTAAAAAAAACCTTTATTTTAATTTAAGCCTATAAAAGCTTATAAAATTATTATTATGTATATAAAAAACTTGTGTATGATAAAAAAATATTTTGGTGAAAAAAATATATTTTTTTAATTCCTTCCACTGCCCTAGAGCTATCCTAAAAATCATAAATTTCAGACGAGGGCAGAAAATGGTTAAAAAGAAATTTCTTGAGCCAAGATTTTTTTAGAGCATAACCAACTTTTCCAAAGTAAAAATTCAAAAATTGACTGGGGGTCCGCCCAATTCGCATGTTTTTTTTGAAAATTAAAGTGCTCACCTTTGGAAACGTTACTTATGCTAAAAATAAACAACTTGGCTAAAAAGAAATATATATATATATTTATATTAGGTACTACCGTTTTTTGCCCTAGCTCAAATTATAGATAATTATAATTTTTGTGTTTGCCATGGCTCTGTGGCAGTGGAAGAAATTTAAAAAAATATATATTTTTGTCACCAAGATGTTTATTTTAAACATCATTAACTTTTTCAAAATTGGACACTTTGATTTAAAAAAAAAGCGAAATGGGCGGACCCCCATTCAGTGTCAAATATGAAAATATTTGTATTTTTAAAATTGACCGGGAGCCCCCAATTAGCTTATTTTTTTAAAAATCAATATGCCCAATTTTGGAAAAGTTAATTATGATCTTAAAATATCTTGGCTCAAAAAAAAATTTTAACGGTTTTCTGCGCTTGTCTGAATTTTATGCATATATGATTTTTATATTTAGCTATGGGGCGGTGGAAGGAATTAAAAAAATATTTTTTTTCACCAAAATATTTATTTTTATCATAGGTACACAAGTTTTCTATATACAGGCGTTTTCAATTTTAAAAATATTCATATTTCGCTCCACCCTACTGTACAGGGTGTCCCAAATTGGTTGTCCGTATAGGCTAATTCAGTAAATATAAATGCTAGAAAAAATTCGACAACGCATCCCCGTCGTCTTTTTAAAGATACATAGGATGATGTCTGAATTTTCTCGATTCGCATTTGTTTAGGAGATATACCTATTTTTTCAATTTTTGCCAATTTTGACAATTGCTTGTAGCTTCGTTAATATTTGAGTTTAAAATATTATGTAGGCACTTTTTATCACAGAATTCATTAGTGTAGACAGATTTTTTTAGCTCTTTTAGGTTAAGAGATATAATCAAGTTTTAAATAACAGGGTTTGTATATCCGTAGTATATCCGTAGAATATCCGTAGACCCTATACGGACAACCAATTTGGGACACCCTGTACATACATATTTAACGTGCAATACTTTAACAGCAGATTCTACGTACAAAAATAATAAAAAAAACCTTTAAATATAGGTCAAGAAATGCTTCCCAAGGGAGCTACAGCCCCCGAAAAAGGTGCCCCTGAAGATGGTTTTTATTAAATACTTCCAAAACAGTTAAAGATAGAAACGTGAAATTTTGGAAATTGATCATAATTTTTATGGCCAATAAGATGTAATAATAATATCCATAAGGGGTGGGTCAGATAGATAGGGAGTCATTGTAAAACTACCCTAACTTTTTTGCATATGTCCTGTCCCAGGATTTGATGTAAGATTATTTTATTTTGGAGGTTTCCGCACAAAAAAGGTCCTCTTGTTGATCTTTCATAATATTACCCATTTTTGCTTAAACTCGAATTGAAAATTAACTTACATGGCAAAAAAATTATAGCTTTTTTAGGAAGCATTTCTCGACCTATGTTTATAGGAACTTTTTTTACTATTTTTGTACGTGAAATCTGTCAATCCAGTCAAAAAATTTAAAAGCAATAGGTAATAATAAACACTATTCTAATAAAAATCTGATAATTTATAATATCCGCGAAGACTGCCTTTAAATGTTAAGTACCTTTTCATAAAAAAATTAGATAAAAAATGTGGAAGCTTAAATTTATTTAAGTATTGTTTTTATTTATTTCTTTAGTATATTTTTAAACCCAATATAACCCATTTTAATATGAAAGTTTTAGTTATATTGAAGAATTCTTTTTTATATTGTATGCTAAAATCATCGATATTTTATTATATATTTTCTCTTTAAAAGTTATCACATAAATATAAGTAAAATCGTTTTCTAAATGTCTCAATTTGTTAAAATTGATGTGGAACATCGTAATGGTAATGTTTTCGATTAGGGTCACAATGGGCAATTTCAATAACTAACTCGAGGGTCGAAATATAAAATTACCAGCCTTCATGAAGCAATTTTGATACGTTCGATATTTGAAAAAGAAAGTGAAAAAAGCTTATCTGCTTTACAGTCCACAAATTAAAGGACCATAATAAATTTCGACAAAGGGATTTTATTAAAATTTAAAGGATTGAACATCACTACAATCTTATAAGGAACAGATAGCCGTTATTGCAGCAATAAAAAGGCAAGCGAAATGCGAAACATCTCGTCCTATAAACAATAAATGGAGTAATAAAATCACTTACCCTCTTCGAGCAACTTGGATACGTTCGATCTGGAAAGGAAATGCTGGAAAACTCGCACGCCGCTCTTCAAGAACGACAGTACTTCCATTATGTTTTCCACGAAGGTGACGTTCGATTGATTTTTGCCTGCAACGACCGATATTGGGGCAATATCCACCACTTTGGCTTGCGTCGCATTCTTCTTCGTCGTCGGGTGCTCGTCTGAGAAGAGGTAGTTGTCGAGCACGACCAGCAAACCGTTCGGAACGACCACTTTTCTTTCTACCACGTAAACATCGTTAGCTTTCAACTTTCCATCTTTTGTCGCCTTTACATGCACCTAAAATAATTAGGACGTTGTAGGTACGGCTTATTGCTCTTTTATTATGTTTATTTTTATAACATATAATGTATTTTTATTTGTGTTTGTGTTTATTTTTATTAAAATATTATTTAATTGTTGGACTTATACAAAAAATCGAATATTTGTTTTTAAAGTACCTCCAAAATATTGTTCAGAATCTCAAAAAAATGGTCCTGTTAAAATGTAAGCTCTTAATATTACATTTACAGGTCCCTCATCGGGAATTTTTATTTCCCATTAAGATAATGAGATTTTTTAAAATACTTAAAAATTGTATAACTCGTTAACGGATTATAATCCACTATAGTGGACCAATAAAACTAAAACAAATTTTGTTAGGACTTTTTTAAAAGATATTCAAGGTAAAAGTTGAATTCATAGAAAATTTCAAGATTTTTCAGCGAAACAAAATTTATGGTAAAATTTAGTAGGACCCTTTTTTAAGAAAATATTATCCAAAACCATGAGCAAAGAAAGCGGCCTTTTTATTTAAAAAGAAATGGTAAATAATTACATTAATAATTATAGTTAAAGCATGGTATTCCCAAAGGGTTTGGACCCAATTTGGTCAAATATTAAATTATCATTTAAAAATAGTCTATATAGTGCATATGTGCCATGCAAAACGACTAAAAAAATATTCTCCATATTAATTTTGTATTTTAAAGATGGATGGATTTTCATTGATTTCTCACAATTTTGTGTAATACTATGTTTTTTCTACTCCAATTAAGTAATTTTCATTGATAATAAAACTTATTATAACCTCACTTTTCTCCGATTTTAAAATTACATTAAATTTTATAGTCGCCCCTCGTATATTTTAATATATCTGAAATAAGCCAATCACTGATGCCTAACAACGTGAATAATGAGTTTATTATTATTATTAACAATTTTATTTGCAAAATCATGCAAAAGTTTATAATTATTTTAGTATTAAATGTCTATATTTTATTTAAATATATTATTTTATTAATAACAACTTATTAAATAATATATAGTTTATTTAATAAGTTATAGAACATATATTATATTTAAATTATTTCAGAACCAATGTTATTCCTTAAATATTTAATTATTGCATACAAGCTTAAAAGTCAAATGAAATGTGCGTAGAAAGAATGGTAAATAGCAGGTAGGTAGAATTATTGAGTTTAAAAATAGATATGTTAATTTTATTAGCAAAACCCGAATGCCTCCGAACAATTACAATGGAGCATTCAATTGGACATTACTTTTTTTCCGTAACTGTACCTAAGCATATTTGCAAAATCTTAAAATGGGGAAAAACGGTTTTCACATTTATTTACATTTTTATCCAATTTTTTTGCTACTCTATTTTGTTTTGTAGTACAATATTTTGTTTATATTTACACACTTTGATTCTTAATAAAAGTTTTTGCAAAAACTGAAAATGAAATTTCTGAGAAATGTAAAATAGTTTTTTCCCTATTTGTAACCCAATCCGTAAACATACTGTATAATGCAAAATTGGTGTACCACGTTGTAGGAGGGGTTATTTAAAGTATACAAAAAATTACAAAACATTTTTCTAACATTTTATTTTCTTTATTTTAATTTTGTAAGAACATTTATTTATTTAAAAGGATTAAACACAGTAAAAATATCAATAAATATTAAAAAGATAAAAATTGTTTATGTTTGTGCATGAATTTATGTCGGGCGCGCACGGACGAGGCGAGTGGCACCGGCTTACAAAAACAAATGCCATTCATAGGTTGATTGAGAATACAAAAAAAAATTTCTGGTTTTTTATTCGAAAGACTTTGACGAAAATTTAAATTGAGGCGAGACAAATGCCATTCATAGGTTGATTGAGAATACAAAAAAAAATTTCTGTTTTTTTATTCGGAAGACTTTGACGAAAATTTAAATTGAGGCGAGACTGACGAAAATTTAAAGTAAAACGATTTTAAAGAAAAACTTTGAGAAAATTATTAAAATTTAAATTGTTTATCACAAACAATTTTTTTGTCATGAAAAAACAACTTTTTTACTTACAAAAATATCTGTGAAAAACAATATTTTGTTGATAACTTTTGTAATGTTTTATATTTTTAAAAAATATTTTATAAATACTTTAGTATTTATTAGTATTAGTACTACAAAACCCAATAGTTATTTTCTGTATTTCATGAAGTAGTGAAAAAAGTGATATGTTTAACGAAGTCAATAATTTTCATAAACCACTTTATAACTTCTTTATTCCTGGGTATTTAAAAAAAATAGTATTTAACTTATTTTATCTACTCCTACATAGACGAGGTGTAACGATATGGCATTTTGGTCACAGGCTGAAGTTAGAAATAGTGGCTTTTGGGCATTTTAGTAAAGGGCTGAAGTTGGCTTTATTATAAATTGGGAAAAAGTAAGGTTAAATCCATTGACATTTGACAGATGTTAAATGTTTAACACCTACAATTAGAAAAAGTATGGTACGTAACTCGTTTTATAAAATTCTCTAGACACTCGTTTTTATTAAACACTCGCTTGCAAGCTTTGCTCGTGCCTAAAAAAATGCCAATTATAAAACTTGATACATAATATACTATTAATCATGATTATACTGCAGTATTTAACTTGTAGTTTTAATTTCTTCAGCTTTGCAATTAAATTACTTGCCCTAATGTTATTCTGGCTTTCTGTAGAAAAATAATCTGTTAGAACTAGAGATGCGACTTGAAAAAAAAACAGTCCGTTTTTTTTGTTTTTTTTTCAGGTTTTTAATCATTGTATTTTTCAAAAGGTTTTTTCATATTTTAGTTTTTTTTTCAAGATTAGTCCCATTTCCTAATTTTTATGTTTCCAGTCCAGTTAGTGGACTAAAATTAGCCACTAAATGACATTTAGTAAATGTAAATACAGTCTCGCGCTTTGCACGCGCCACCATGGTATAGGTAAAAAAAGTAACTATAGTTACTTTTTTTAGCACCAAATCAAAACAAGCGCGGCCCTTATTGGTCAATTCGGTGGTGCACCACCTATAATATTTTTGATTTAGAGCTTGATTTTTCAAAAAGCTACCACGAGCACTTTTTTCTTGATTTTTTAAATTCATGTACAGTATGGAAATTTTTAGGAAATGTAGAACATTTATTCATTGGTGGTTAAGTCAGAACATTCCGTGGACCAAAAAGGAAAGCCAAAAAATTTCGAATTTATTTATTATGGTATTCGTTGCATGTTTTTTATCTAAAAACTAGAAACTTCAAGCTTCAAATTGCTTTTTTACGGCTCCAATACGACCCTTTTTAAAGAAGATACATCTATCCGAAAAATCGCAAAAAATTTTACATTGCTATTGGTTTCTTATGTGGAAAAATATTCAATAATAAAAACTGTAATATATTCTACATTTCACTTTATTATTATTATTGAATTGATATTTATTTTTTTCTAGGTCTTTTTTCATGTTTTTTTTTCTCATCTGAAAAAAAAAACCGTTTTTTTACATCTCTAGTTAGAACAGTAGGTGATAAATTTGACAAATAGTTTTCTCGGTATAGCTTATATTATATATATTATTAATTTAAATAGAAAAAATTACACACTAAACATAAAATAATACACTGCGCGTCAAAATTAACGCATAATAAATAAAAAAAATTCTTACTCTAAAACGCCTTTACCAATCTTTATAAAATATCCTTAAAGCCCTTTTATTTAATAATAATTAAACGCTCGAAAAAAAACTTTTAAAGGGAATTTAAACAAAAAATTTACTGTAAAATACCGTATTTTTTGTAAATATACCCTGAAAATGTTGTACAAATCAAACAGTAACGAAAGTCGCTTAAAAGTCTTCAAAAATGACCACTTTTCAGCAAAATAATCAAAAAGGGGTCATTTTTACCGACTTTGATGTGTACAAAATTTTCAGGGTATACTAACAAAAATACGGTCTTTAACAGCATATTTTTTATTTACTAAATTACTAGATTAGTAAAGGTATTTTAGAGTTTTTTTACTTATTATGCGTTAATTTTGACGCGCAGTGTATACACTATCTAAAGATATATTATTTAAATTGCTTACCATCCGTCCACCGAGAGTTTTAAAAGAAATATCGGTGACGTTCGTCAGATCTAATCTCTGCTTAAGCACCACGTGGTCGAGCAGAAGTTTCTTTACAAGTTCGGGCTGCTGCAGCAAATTTTCAGCTCGTTTCGTGGCAGAATTCTGCGGAGCGAAGATCGTAAACGGCTCGTCTGAAAAAGTAAAACCACGTTAAAATTTCTTTATTAAATTATCAATAAATCCATAGTTAAATTAAATCTCTTCCAGCGCCAATTGTATCTGTTTATATAAATCCGGTATTATGAGATTTTGTTCACGTTTTATCGCCTGTATTTGGCTGATCCAGTATCGTAAAAAGCTTTATTTCGAAACATTACGTTAGTTTTTGCAGTGTCACACCAAAATCTTGTTAAGTAAGGACATTTGGAATTTCATTTATTGATCAGACATAAAATACCCAATTTATTCATAAAACAGTTAGACTGTTATAATAATCAGATTTGTTGAATTGAGTTTGTAGTTTGTTAATTTTATTTTGTAAAATTTTAATATAATTTTTTGTATAAAACCAGGGTTTTTAAGAAAGGAAAATATTTTACCGAATTTAAGTTGTTACGAACAAGTTACGAATTAGAATAAAGTAAGGAGAAACATAAGTTGCAGACGCTGAAGTCAGTTGAACTTGTTCATGCATATTGTCAGTGGGAAATGTTTTGATTGACTGCCTGAAATCACGTATACTTTTTCAATGAAATAATTTGTTAAACATTAACAAAATAATCTGTACCTAACCTTTGAAATTAAGAAAATGCATACAAAATTGTTCATTACCTTTACAAAAATTTCGGAAATATATTTTCCTTTGTTAAAATGTAAGTACAGATTTCCAAGAATGTTTTGAAAAATGTTGTTTTTTAAATGTCGCTCTATCGAAATTTTGAATTTAAATCAATTTAAATAAGGCAGCTGATGTTGACATTTCCTGACAGTCTTGGTTTATAAAAATAATTTCTGTTTTTACTATGTGAATCACATAATGTGATGAACTAACATGTGGATATATGTATACGTTTTTATTATCGTAATTCATTAAGATTTTTATTTTAATTACAGCGTTTACTACGTTTTAATGTAACTTTTACTCTTAAATAATTCATTTAAAATTTAATTTGAAAGAAAAGTAATAAAGCCGAGAGAACGTTTATCGAACAGAACAAATCATAAAGTTATAGTAACAATTTAACCCACCATTAAAAAAAGTTATGAGGTAATTTGTTCGCTCAAAAGTTCTTGTTAAATAAAAAGTCTACATAATTTAATGGTTTGAAAAGCATAATAGTTACAATAACCATTGATAAAATAGCCAAATTATGGTAATTGAGTAAAGTTTATTTTTATGAAACTGTTCGGTTAGGGAAATTTGAATGTTATGGTTACTAGATAAAATATCACTTTTTGCTTAACAACCATAATAGCTAATACTAAATTGAATTTTATGCCCATTTTAATTTTAATTTAAGATTATTTATTTAAAGAATGGAAAACAGTTTTCTAATAACATTTAAAAATTAAAAGTTAAAATAGAGAAGAGTGACAAAAAAAATTGTCCAATAACACTGGTCGACAGAAATTTTGCCATGGTGGCCAAAAAGTTTTCTAGGGTAATTTGGATACAAATCAGCGTAAAAATGACCATGCAAACATTAAATTTTGTATATATATTTTGTTAATCAAATACTTTAACCGGTTCATTGGTTATATACGAGGGGTAAACCGCTGGGGAATTTTGGTGTACAAAGCTCAGGAATTGCGGGAATTGCCAGGGAATTGTCGGGGAATTGCAGGAATTTCCAGGGAATTGCGGGAATTTTTAAGGAATTGCCGGAATTTTCAAGGAATTGCGGGAATTTTCAAGGAATTGCGGGAATTAACAAGGAATTTCGAAGGAATTATGTGGGTATTGGGACCCATTGTGCCATGGTTTTGCGCTTGCGCATTAAACAAATGCAAGATAGTTTCGTACTTCGGCCATGATGGCGTGTGATACGGCGCAAGGTTTACTTTACCGTTAAATTTAGTGTTAATACTACGATCTATACAATTTCTGATACGAAAATATGAAAGGTGAGTTGCTTAGATAGGTAATTAGCTACTTAAGTATTTAATGTTTATTGTTTGGTACCAACCGCTATAAAATTATCCCCCAAGAGTGCATTAGTTAGCTTATGTAAGCTTTAAACAATAAACGTAAACCACATTTAATGTAAAATTATTGTAAAATCTAGTAAATTTGATTTTTACAATGGAGCCCCGTACTACATGACATAACCTTAAAAAAAACTTTTAGGTATAGTTCAAGGAAGTGTATACACCTCCGTAAACTATTGCTATAAAACCACGTCTGCCGTGGCTGTAATATGTTTAAGCTTAAACATATTACAGCCACGGCAGACGTAGTTTTCTAGCAATATTTTGTATATTTAAGTATAGAGGCAGCGTGCTTGAAGCGTGGACGGTCGGTAGAGCGTTCGCTTGACATGCGAGAGGTACCGGGTTCGATGCCCGGTGCATTCCCAACTTTTTTTAAATAATAGTTAATGTAAATCTATTTGTGTTCACATTAATTCGCACAATACTGTATATACAAGCATGTTTTAACCTTTTTGTAATTATATTAGTTAATTAATTAATTAATTAATGATATTAAATTATTAGAAGGCGCGGAATTGTGCTCAGGCCTCGTAATAATTTAATCCTTGAATTTAATATAAAAAGACAAACAAAAAAATTTGAAAGTCTAGGTCTGTCTCGCATCAAAAATATGTTATACCTCTAAGGTTACAAAATTTAAAAATGAAAAAATTATTTTTAATTATATTTTTATGTTTTGTATCAAAATAAATTAAATAAGAAATAATTTATTTAAAGCCTTGGAATATACTCTATATATGACAAAATTGTAGCACTCTATTTTAATAAATAGAAAAGTTATGGATTTTTGATGACAGACAGACCTAGATGTTCTATAGTGAGGCGCCTTAATCAATTGATTTCATAATATTATTATAAATAATTCCCAAATCAAATCAATTTTATTTTAATTTAAAACATACATAATAAAAAGGAGACATAGTAAAAGGGACAAAATGTGGTGATGTGCTTGACTTTAAAAGGCGCGTGGATATGTAATCCCGCCTCTTAAACCTCCCTGCGGAAGATTTGCATGGTACGAGTAGTGACGATCTCTTCGATACGTAAATATGCAATAGATTGCTATAAAACCACATCTACCGTGGCTGGAATATTTTTAAGCTCCACGTCGCCGTAAACGTACTCTCTAAAAATGAATTAGTCAAAAATGACTAATTGTGATAACGAAAAAGCAGCCACTAATAATTATTGTCAATAGCAATTTGCATCCCAATCATTTAGCAGTCTATTTCCATGTAAAATTGTCTCCTGAATCCGAAAATGTCGTCAACAGTTATAAAAGTAGAACAGTTTTTGAGATATAGTCAATTTTCCATATAATATAGAAAAAATGTCGTCAAAAGTTATAAAAGTAGAACAGATTTTGGAGATATAGGCAATTTTCCATATAATATGGAATTGTCTATATCTTAAAAACTGCTCTACTTTCATATTTTTTGTCGGTATTTTCGGATTCAGGAGACAATTTTACATAAGAATTGGATATTAAATGTTGGGGATACCATGGTATCCATGTGAAAGTGAAAAAGCAGCCACTAATAACTGTAGTAATGAGTCATTTTTGACTAATTCATTTTTAGAGAGTAATATGTTAAGCTCCAAGTCTGCGGTGTGCATATACACTCCTATTTGAGATTAGAATAAAATAATATAATCCCCCAACATTTGTTTTTAAAAATTAAGTAAGTTAATTAGTTATACCAACTTTTTTGGTTTACTTTATTATCGGTATTTAAACGAAAAAAATTGTAAAGCAAGAAATAAACCAGGCTTTTTTGTTTAGATGGAACATGATCAAATTCCCAATTCCGTATCTGACCCATTTACAGAAGTCGAAGAAAACTTAAATTGTAAAATACCCGAACCACTAAAAAACATGTTAATAATAAATGGATACGACAACGGAACTTTACTTTCTGAAATAACCGAAAATGATATAGTAGCCATTGAAAATTTCGCAAGAAACATTCTACAAGATCTTTTGAGCAGCCAGGAAGAAAGAGAGAAATATTACGGAATCTTTTCAAAAAAAGTGGAAGCATATACAATTGTTAGCGGTTACAAAAAATTGTTAAATAATATCTCCAAATATTTTAAAGATAATTCCAAAAAATTACGTGGACCTTTTACTGTTAAAAACAAATTTCAACATGGTAATCAAAATAAACCTAGGAATCAACCATCTTCATCTCATTTGATAGTAACTGAGACAATGACTAAATGTGCCTCAGACCCGACTATTAATTTAACAGCAGAGAATTCCCATATATTTTCAACATTAAAAAAATGGCTCAAGAAAAAGACAGATGCAGATCCAACCGGGGAGCAATGGGACTTTTTTAAAAAAAAATTCGACGATATTCATATTGCTACTAGAAGTGACGAAGAAAAATTAAATTGCACAATAACATGTTTTTGTTCAATAAAAATAACAATAAACAAAGTAGCAAAAGACCCATCAAAGACAGCCCGATGGATTTTCTCAAATTTTGAAACCCACTTTCTAAAACAGCACATAATTCCCTATAACAAAACGGGGTTCTCCGAAAATAAAACAAAAGACAAAGTAACACTAATAACAGATTATATAAAAAAAGAGCACGTAAAAGAAGAAAATAGTAAAGTCTCGAGTAATGTATTACCCGAGGTATTACCCAAGAAGAAAAAGTATTGTAATATTGATAAAGAGTACCTGATGGAAAACTTAAACGAAAATTTCTCGGATATCTCCAACGAAAACATGACAGAAAAAAACAAAATTTCACCGCTAAAAACAAAACATGACGAAAAAAGTATTTATGATAAAAAAAACACATCACTCATTATACCGAAATTGAATACTATTGAAAATAAAGTAGGCGAGAGCTCAGATGAAGACTTTAACGAGAACCTGACAGAAAAATTCAACATTTCACCACAACCAACGAGAGATGACCAAAGAAGTATTTATGATGAAAAAAATACTTCGCTTTTACCAAAA